ACATTAGTGTGTTCTCTGAACGTTACATTAGAGTGTTCTCTGAACGTTACATTAGAGTGTTCTCTGAACGTTACATTAGAGTGTTCTCTGAACGTTACATTAGAGTGTTCTCTGAACGTTACATTAGTGTGTTCTCTGAACGTTACATTAGTGTGTTCTCTGAACGTTACATTAGAGTGTTCTCTGAACGTTACATTAGAGTGTTCTCTGAACGCTACATTAGAGTGTTCTCTGAACGTTACATTAGAGTGTTCTCTGAACGCTACATTAGAGTGTTCTCTGAACGCTACATTAGAGTGTTCTCTGAACGTTACATTAGAGTGTTCTCTGAACGCTACATTAGAGTGTTCTCTGAACGCTACATTAGAGTGTTCTCTGAACGTTACATTAGTGTGTTCTCTGAACGTTACATTAGTGTGTTCTCTGAACGCTACATTAGAGTGTTCTCTGAACGTTACATTAGTGTGTTCTCTGAACGTTACATTAGAGTGTTCTCTGAACGCTACATTAGAGTGTTCTCTGAACGTTACATTAGTGTGTTCTCTGAACGCTACATTAGAGTGTTCTCTGAACGTTACATTAGTGTGTTCTCTGAACGTTACATTAGTGTGTTCTCTGAACGTTACATTAGTGTGTTCTCTGAACGCTACATTAGAGTGTTCTCTGAACGTTACATTAGAGTGTTCTCTGAACGCTACATTAGAGTGTTCTCTGAACGTTACATTAGAGTGTTCTCTGAACGCTACATTAGAGTGTTCTCTGAACGTTACATTAGTGTGTTCTCTGAACGTTACATTAGTGTGTTCTCTGAACGCTACATTAGAGTGTTCTCTGAACGTTACATTAGAGTGTTCTCTGAACGCTACATTAGAGTGTTCTCTGAACGTTACATTAGTGTGTTCTCTGAACGTTACATTAGTGTGTTCTCTGAACGCTACATTAGAGTGTTCTCTGAACGTTACATTCAGTGTGTTCTCTGAACGTTACATTAGTGTGTTCTCTGAACGTTACATTAGAGTGTTCTCTGAACGTTACATTAGTGTGTTCTCTGAACGTTACATTAGAGTGTTCTCTGAACGTTACATTAGAGTGTTCTCTGAACGTTACATTAGAGTGTTCTCTGAACGTTACATTAGAGTGTTCTCTGAACGTTACATTAGTGTGTTCTCTGAACGTTACATTAGTGTGTTCTCTGAACGTTACATTAGTGTGTTCTCTGAACGCTATATTAGAGTGTTCTCTGAACGTTACATTAGAGTGTTCTCTGAACGTTACATTAGTGTGTTCTCTGAACGTTACATTAGAGTGTTCTCTGAACGTTACATTAGAGTGTTCTCTGAACGTTACATTAGAGTGTTCTCTGAACGTTACATTAGAGTGTTCTCTGAACGTTACATTAGAGTGTTCTCTGAACGTTACATTAGAGTGTTCTCTGAACGTTACATTAGAGTGTTCTCTGAACGTTACATTAGAGTGTTCTCTGAACGTTACATTAGAGTGTTCTCTGAACGTTACATTAGAGTGTTCTCTGAACGTTACATTAGAGTGTTCTCTGAACGTTACATTAGAGTGTTCTCTGAACGCTACATTAGAGTGTTCTCTGAACGTTACATTAGAGTGTTCTCTGAACGTTACATTAGTGTGTTCTCTGAACGCTACATTAGAGTGTTCTCTGAACGCTACATTAGAGTGTTCTCTGAACGTTACATTAGTGTGTTCTCTGAACGTTACATTAGAGTGTTCTCTGAACGCTACATTAGAGTGTTCTCTGAACGTTACACTAGAGTGTTCTCTGAACGTTACACTAGAGTGTTCTCTGAACGTTACATTAGAGTGTTCTCTGAACGTTACATTAGAGTGTTCTCTGAACGCTACATTAGAGTGTTCTCTGAACGTTACATTAGTGTGTTCTCTGAACGTTACATTAGTGTGTTCTCTGAACGTTACATTAGTGTGTTCTCTGAACGCTACATTAGAGTGTTCTCTGAACGTTACATTAGTGTGTTCTCTGAACGTTACATTAGAGTGTTCTCTGAACGTTACATTAGAGTGTTCTCTGAACGCTACATTAGAGTGTTCTCTGAACGTTACATTAGAGTGTTCTCTGAACGCTACATTAGAGTGTTCTCTGAACGTTACATTAGAGTGTTCTCTGAACGTTACATTAGTGTGTTCTCTGAACGCTACATTAGAGTGTTCTCTGAACGTTACATTAGTGTGTTCTCTGAACGCTACATTAGAGTGTTCTCTGAACGTTACATTAGAGTGTTCTCTGAACGCTACATTAGAGTGTTCTCTGAACGTTACATTAGTGTGTTCTCTGAACGTTACATTAGTGTGTTCTCTGAACGTTACATTAGTGTGTTCTCTGAACGTTACATTAGAGTGTTCTCTGAACGTTACATTAGTGTGTTCTCTGAACGCTACATTAGAGTGTTCTCTGAACGTTACATTAGTGTGTTCTCTGAACGTTACATTAGTGTGTTCTCTGAACGTTACATTAGTGTGTTCTCTGAACGCTACATTAGAGTGTTCTCTGAACGCTACATTAGAGTGTTCTCTGAACGTTACATTAGTGTGTTCTCTGAACGCTACATTAGAGTGTTCTCTGAACGTTACATTAGTGTGTTCTCTGAACGTTACATTAGTGTGTTCTCTGAACGTTACATTAGTGTGTTCTCTGAACGCTACATTAGAGTGTTCTCTGAACGTTACATTAGAGTGTTCTCTGAACGCTACATTAGAGTGTTCTCTGAACGTTACATTAGAGTGTTCTCTGAACGCTACATTAGAGTGTTCTCTGAACGTTACATTAGTGTGTTCTCTGAACGTTACATTAGTGTGTTCTCTGAACGCTACATTAGAGTGTTCTCTGAACGTTACATTAGAGTGTTCTCTGAACGCTACATTAGAGTGTTCTCTGAACGTTACATTAGTGTGTTCTCTGAACGTTACATTAGTGTGTTCTCTGAACGCTACATTAGAGTGTTCTCTGAACGTTACATTAGAGTGTTCTCTGAACGTTACATTAGAGTGTTCTCTGAACGTTACATTAGTGTGTTCTCTGAACGTTACATTAGTGTGTTCTCTGAACGTTACATTAGAGTGTTCTCTGAACGTTACATTAGTGTGTTCTCTGAACGTTACATTAGAGTGTTCTCTGAACGTTACATTAGAGTGTTCTCTGAACGTTACATTAGAGTGTTCTCTGAACGTTACATTAGAGTGTTCTCTGAACGTTACATTAGTGTGTTCTCTGAACGTTACATTAGTGTGTTCTCTGAACGTTACATTAGTGTGTTCTCTGAACGTTACATTAGAGTGTTCTCTGAACGTTACATTAGAGTGTTCTCTGAACGTTACATTAGAGTGTTCTCTGAACGTTACATTAGTGTGTTCTCTGAACGTTACATTAGTGTGTTCTCTGAACGTTACATTAGTGTGTTCTCTGAACGTTACATTAGTGTGTTCTCTGAACGTTACATTAGAGTGTTCTCTGAACGTTACATTAGAGTGTTCTCTGAACGTTACATTAGAGTGTTCTCTGAACGTTACATTAGAGTGTTCTCTGAACGTTACATTAGTGTGTTCTCTGAACGTTACATTAGAGTGTTCTCTGAACGTTACATTAGAGTGTTCTCTGAACGTTACATTAGAGTGTTCTCTGAACGTTACATTAGAGTGTTCTCTGAACGTTACATTAGTGTGTTCTCTGAACGGTCTGGTCTCTAAGCACCAGAACACCAGAGTTCTTCACACGGCTGTAAAACACTGTCCCGAAGCCGCGCAGTCTGACGCTTGAGCGCAGGTGTGTGAGATTCCTGTGCGTCTTCAGTTGTGTTTGTCCATCTGCTGGTCTTTAGTGACCCTGCACACACACACACACACACACACCCTGTGGAATCTCAAACATGCCTGATGGCACGCAGATACTCGCATACAGACTCACAAAAGAGACAAAAGACCCGAGACACAAAGACCAAACGCATCCCTTCATATGCAAAGCAGTGGTTCCACTGACATCACACATTACAGTCCTGGGACAGCGCTGATGTCATTCCCGTGAGATCATGTGACCTCGCCGGAGGAAGACATGCCTCAGTCATCTGTGTGAAGATCACTGTCCATGTGATTGATTACAAATAATAATAATTCTGCTCTCGTTTCATGATCGATGCTCAAAAACTAAAAGTAAATACGGTCATTTGGTCGAAATAATGGTGTTTCTGTGTTTGTGTAAAGAATCAAAGACTTGCTAGAATGAGGCTGGACGATACCGCAAATATTTCTGCAATTTAATTATGTAAATATAATGTTATTATTATAAATTAGGTTATATATTTGATAGTGCTGGGCAACGATTAATCGCATCCAAAATAAAAGTTTGTGTTTACATAATATATGTGTGTGTGCTGTGTAAGTATAATTATTTTGTATTGATTGTGTGCTTCATTTTTGTATATATATATATATATATATATATACAAAATAATTATACACACTACACACACACATACATATTATGTAAACACAAACTTTTATTTTGGATGCGTTTAATCGTTACCCAGCACTAATATTTTACTGTTGTATTAATATAATTAACATGTTTAATATTAGTAAATATTTCTTTTTTCATATTTAATAAATAAATAATATGACTATTAAACCGTTAAATATATTATATTAATATAATTAACATTTAATATTTTTAGCAGTAATATGTTACATATTTCATATTTAATCACATGAAATATGTTAAAACTATTAATTTAATATCATATTACCTAAATTGTAAATATTGTGATGATTTCAATGCATTTATGTAAGTAAATATTACTCTATTTGGCTATATATTGTAAATAAATTAAAATGATTCAATATGATTTCATTAATTTATGCATGATTAAATGCACTGGAATCTATTAGGCGACTGATAGCTGGACTGAGAGGAAACCTGTGACACTCGTGTTCAGTGTGTGTGTGTGTGTGTTGTCCTTTAGGTGGCCATAAAGTCCATCCGTAAGGAAAAGATTAAAGACGATCAGGATCTGATCCACATCCGACGAGAGATCGAGATCATGTCGTCGCTCAGTCATCCTCACATCATCACCATATATGAAGGTATATGAAGTATGAAGTATGAAAGCGCTCTGTTGTTGTGTAACCAGATCGCTGGGATTCTTCAGTCACGCAAACCTCTTTGTTCTCATTATGTAATCAAGGCAAACCCCAAAACTGCTTTATTGTGCTCCAGCGCACCACAATTACACCCCCGCTCATTAACATAACCAGAGTCGTTTAAACTTAGTGAAGTGATGTGACTGACACTGTCGCCTTTGGCTTTAGTCTTGCTTAGTTCGGGACGTTTCATTTAATATTCAGCAATATTATTGATCTCCTGCTTTGACAGCATTATATGAGAACTGAACTGAGCTGGACGATGACATCACGGTTTACTCCAGAGTGGATATATACATATATATATATATAAATGAACTAAATGAATAACTTTTTTACAGCAGAAATGAAGCATCCCTGAACTGACTTAAGCTGGACTGTGACGCTATTCTCTTCTGGAAACACACTTTGTTGAATTATTTTTAAAGCTGCTCTGAAACACTGTGTTGTAAACAGCGCAGTATAAGTAAAGCTGACTCGACTCGTGTGTGTGTGTGTGTGTGTGTGTGTCAGTGTTCGAGAACAAGGATAAGATCGTGATCGTGATGGAGCTGGGCAGTAAAGGAGATCTGTACGACTACATGAGCGAGAGACAGCGCATCTCTGAGGGCGAAGCCCGCCGCCTCTTCAGACAGATCGTCTCTGCCGTGCAATACTGCCACCGCGTGAGTAACACACACACACACACACACACACACACACACACACTCAATACTGCCACCGCGTGAGTAACACACACACACACACACACACACACACACACACTCAATACTGCCACCGCGTGAGTAACACACACACACACACACACAATACTGCCACCGCGTGAGTAACACACACACACACACACACACACACACTCAATACTGCCACCGCGTGAGTAACACACACACACACACACACACACACACACACTCAATACTGCCACCGCGTGAGTAACACACACACACACACACACAATACTGCCACCGCGTGAGTAACACACACACACACACACACACACTCAATACTGCCACCGCGTGAGTAACACACACACACACACACACTCAATACTGCCACCGCGTGAGTAACACACACACACACACACACAATACTGCCACCGCGTGAGTAACACACACACACACACACACACTCAATACTGCCACCGCGTGAGTAACACACACACACACACACACACACAATACTGCCACCGCGTGAGTAACACACACACACACACACACACAATACTGCCACCGCGTGAGTAACACACACACACACACACACTCAATACTGCCACCGCGTGAGTAACACACACACACACACACTCAATACTGCCACCGCGTGAGTAACACACACACACACACACTCAATACTGCCACCGCGTGAGTAACACACACACACACACACACTCAATACTGCCACCGCGTGAGTAACACACACACACACACACTCAATACTGCCACCGCGTGAGTAACACACACACACACACACACAATACTGCCACCGCGTGAGTAACACACACACACACACACACACTCAATACTGCCACCGCGTGAGTAACACACACACACACACACACAATACTGCCACCGCGTGAGTAAGACACACACACACACACACACACAATACTGCCACCGCGTGAGTAACACACACACACACACACACTCAATACTGCCACCGCGTGAGTAACACACACACACACACACACACAATACTGCCACCGCGTGAGTAACACACACACACACACACACTCAATACTGCCACCGCGTGAGTAACACACACACACACACACTCAATACTGCCACCGCGTGAGTAACACACACACACACACACACACAATACTGCCACCGCGTGAGTAACACACACACACACACACACTCAATACTGCCACCGCGTGAGTAACACACACACACACACACTCAATACTGCCACCGCGTGAGTAACACACACACACACTCAATACTGCCACCGCGTGAGTAACACACACACACACACACTCAATACTGCCACCGCGTGAGTAACACACACACACACACAATACTGCCACCGCGTGAGTAACACACACACACACACACACACTCAATACTGCCACCGCGTGAGTAACACACACACACACACACACAATACTGCCACCGCGTGAGTAAGACACACACACACACACACACACAATACTGCCACCGCGTGAGTAAGACACACACACACACACACACAATACTGCCACCACGTGAGTAACACACACACACACACACACAATACTGCCACCACGTGAGTAACACACACACACACACACACAATACTGCCACCGCGTGAGTAACACACACACACACACACACAATACTGCCACCACGTGAGTAACACACACACACACTCAATACTGCCACCGCGTGAGTAACACACACACACACACACACAATACTGCCACCGCGTGAGTAACACACACACACACACACACAATACTGCCACCACGTGAGTAACACACACACACACACACACAATACTGCCACCGCGTGAGTAACACACACACACACACTCAATACTGCCACCGCGTGAGTAACACACACACACACACACTCAATACTGCCACCGCGTGAGTAACACACACACACACACACACTCAATACTGCCACCGCGTGAGTAACACACACACACACACACTCAATACTGCCACCGCGTGAGTAACACACACACACACACACTCAATACTGCCACCGCGTGAGTAACACACACACACACACACACACTCAATACTGCCACCGCGTGAGTAACACACACACACACACACTCAATACTGCCACCGCGTGAGTAACACACACACACACACACACAATACTGCCACCGCGTGAGTAACACACACACACACACACACACTCAATACTGCCACCGCGTGAGTAACACACACACACACACACTCAATACTGCCACCGCGTGAGTAACACACACACACACACACACAATACTGCCACCGCGTGAGTAACACACACACACACACAATACTGCCACCGCGTGAGTAACACACACACTCACACACACACACACTCAATACTGCCACCGCGTGAGTAACACACACACACTCACACACACACACACTCACACACACACACTCAATACTGCCACCGCGTGAGTAACACACACACACACACACACACTCAATACTGCCACCGCGTGAGTAACACACACACACACACACACACTCAATACTGCCACCGCGTGAGTAACACACACACACACACACTCAATACTGCCACCGCGTGAGTAACACACACACACACACACACAATACTGCCACCGCGTGAGTAACACACACACACACACACACACTCAATACTGCCACCGCGTGAGTAACACACACACACACACACTCAATACTGCCACCGCGTGAGTAACACACACACACACACACACAATACTGCCACCGCGTGAGTAACACACACACACACACAATACTGCCACCGCGTGAGTAACACACACACTCACACACACACACACTCAATACTGCCACCGCGTGAGTAACACACACACACTCACACACACACACACTCACACACACACACTCAATACTGCCACCGCGTGAGTAACACACACACACACACACACACTCAATACTGCCACCGCGTGAGTAACACACACACACACACACACACACAATACTGCCACCGCGTGAGTAACACACACACACACACACACTCAATACTGCCACCGCGTGAGTAACACACACACACACACAATACTGCCACCGCGTGAGTAACACACACACACACACACACACACAATACTGCCACCGCGTGAGTAACACACACACACACACACACACAATACTGCCACCGCGTGAGTAACACACACACACACACACACTCAATACTGCCACCGCGTGAGTAACACACACACACACACACACACAATACTGCCACCGCGTGAGTAACACACACACACACACACACTCAATACTGCCACCGCGTGAGTAACACACACACACACACACTCAATACTGCCACCGCGTGAGTAACACACACACACACACACACACACAATACTGCCACCGCGTGAGTAACACACACACACACACACACAATACTGCCACCGCGTGAGTAACACACACACACACACACACACACAATACTGCCACCGCGTGAGTAACACACACACACACACACACACAATACTGCCACCGCGTGAGTAACACACACACACACACTCAATACTGCCACCGCGTGAGTAACACACACACACACACACACACACAATACTGCCACCGCGTGAGTAACACACACACACACACACACACTCAATACTGCCACCGCGTGAGTAACACACACACACACACACACACACAATACTGCCACCGCGTGAGTAACACACACACACACACACACACAATACTGCCACCACGTGAGTAACACACACACACACTCAATACTGCCACCGCGTGAGTAACACACACACACACACACACACAATACTGCCACCGCGTGAGTAACACACACACACACACTCAATACTGCCACCGCGTGAGTAACACACACACACACACACACACACACACAATACTGCCACCGCGTGAGTAACACACACACACACACACACACACAATACTGCCACCGCGTGAGTAACACACACACACACACACACACTCAATACTGCCACCGCGTGAGTAACACACACACACACACACACAATACTGCCACCGCGTGAGTAACACACACACACACACACACAATACTGCCACCGCGTGAGTAACACACACACACACACACACACTCAATACTCACAACGCAACCGAATTTTTATGGTTTTGTTTTATTTTTAGTTAACTATATTAACCCTGATTTCTCTATAGTCATTTTATATTGTAAAGTAGTTTAAAATACAATTAATAAAATATTTTGATTTATTAATGAATTATTTTGATGCTATAAAAACGTTAATTTAAAAGTTTAACAGATATCAGTCATAACAATAATATTCTCTAATTTGTGAGGTATTTTCCGTGAGTTCTTGTTGCACAGGATCATGTCGGTTTTCACTGTCTGGCTTCACAAATATCTGTGGAACCAAAGGTCAGCATGACTAAATATTAGTTCGACGTCATGTGAACATTTCTCACACTCTGGAAAAGTACCCAGAATGCTGTGCGCTGAGGAGGGGTGATAGACCCAGCAGGACTGAGACACTGAATGGATTGCATAACACACACTACTGTCCGCATGAACGAGCAGATCACGCTTGCACACGCTAATGCAGGAACACCCAGCGCTAACGCCGACAAACACAACGACACACACACACACACTCACACACACACGCACGCTAACTGATCCAGCGCTCCGACATATCCGTCTGAACGACAAACTCGCAAAAGCTTCTATTTCAGATAAATGCTGTTCTTTTCAACTTTCTATTCATCAAAGAATCCTGAAATTAAAATGTACACAACTGTGTTCAACACTGATAATAATCATAACTGTGTCTTGATCATCAGATCCTCATATTAGAGTGATTTCTGAAGGATCATGTGACACTGAAGACTGGAGTAATGATGCTGAAAATAACAGGAATAAATTACACTTTACTGTATATTCACATAGAGAACAGATGATTTACACTGGAGTCATATTTCACAATATTCCTGTTTTTTGTGTATTTTTAATCAAATAAACGCAGCCTTGGTGAGCAGAAGAGACTTCTAGTAAAAACATTAAGAATCTCACCAATCCAAAGCTTTTCAAAGGCAGTGTGTGTGTGTGTGTTTGTGTGTGTGTGTGTGTGTGTGTGTGTGTGTGTGTGTGTGAACATGATGATGTTGTTTGCGAGACAGAAACAGAGCGTCCCGTTATAGGCGAGGGGGGGGAGCAGATGAGGAGTTTCGCCCTCCTGCAGAGAAACACAATCACACATGACTGGCATTCCTGTCTCATTTCACACACACACTCACACACACACACACACACTCAAGTCTGGTCCACTATCTTTGTGGGGACTCTCCATAGACTTAATGATTTTTATACTGTACAAACTGTATATTCTGTCCCCTTACACTAACCCTACCCCTAAACCTACTCATCACACACACACACACACACACACACACTCGTACACACACACACACACACACACACACACACACACACACACACACTTATTTACAGATGACGGACGCAGCCGACAGATCTGAAGTCTGGGATTTGTGAGAGTTTTAATGTTTTTAAAAGAAGTCTCTTCTGCTCACCAAAGCTGCATTTATTTGATATAAAATACACACAAAAAAGTAATATTGTGAAATATTATGACTTTTCTTTCTATTGTAAAGTGTAATTTATTCCTGTTATTTTCAGCATCATTACTCCAGTCTTTAGTGTCACATGATCCTTCAGAAATCACTCTAATATGAGGATCTGAGGCTCAAGACAAATTTATGATTATTATCGAACAACAAAAAGTTGATAAATCAAACTATTTTTAGTAACTATAACACACGTAGTGCGCATGACGTCGCCGTTTCCACAAATTCACGTTTTTGTAGTTTACACAGTTGTCAGGTTTGAGTTGTAAACGCTGTTGTGTATCTGTGTTTATCTCTCCAGAACGGGATTGTTCACCGTGACCTGAAGCTGGAGAACATCTTGCTGGACGACGACGGCAATATAAAAGTGAGTTGAGGAGCGAGTAAAGGTCCGGCAGCCGGAGCGAGTGTAGGAAGAGGACCACATGTTTCTGTGTGTTTGTGGCGTCAAGTCCTAAACTTGCACAGAAAATCATTCCGCCGGTGTTGCTCGTTCTCAGGGTTCACACACACACTCGTGTACACACACACACACACACTCTCATAAGCACACTCGTACACACACACACACACACACACACACACACACACACACACACACACACACACACACTCTCATAAGCACACTCGTACACACACTCGTACACACACACACTCGTACACACACTCGTACACACACACACTCGTACACACACTCGTACACACACACACTCGTACACACACACACACACTCTCATAAGCACACTCGTACACACACACACACACACACTCGTACACACACACTCTCATACGCACACTCGTACACACACACACTCGTACACACAGTCGTACACGCACACTCATACACGCACACACATACACACACTCATACACACACAGTCATACACACACCCATACACACAGTCATACACACACCCATACACACAGTCATACACACACTCATACACACAGTCATACACACACTCATACACACACAGTCGTACACAGTCGTATACACACACACACACACACTCGTACACACACACACTCGTACACACAGTCGTACACGCACACTCATACACGCACACACATACACACACTCATACACACACAGTCATACACACACCCATACACACACAGTCATACACACACTCATACACACAGTCATACACACACTCATACACACACAGTCGTACACAGTCGTATACACACACACACACACACTCGTACACACACAGTCGAACACACACAGTCGTACACACACTCGTACACAGTCGTACACACACACACACACAGTCGTACACACACAGTCGTACACACACATACACTTGTACACACAGTCGTACACACACACTCGTACACACAGTCGTACACACAGTCGTACACACACACACTCGTACACACAGTCGTACACACAGTCGTACACACAGTCGTACACACAGTCGTACACACACACACACACACACACACACACTCGTACAGGCACACTCGTACACAGTCGTACACGCACACTCGTACACACAGTCATACACACACTCATACACACACAGTCATACACAGTCGTACACACACACACACACACACACACTCGTACACACACAGTCGAACACAGTCGTACACACACACACACTTGTACACACAGTCGTACACACACACTCGTACACACAGTCGTACACACACACTCATACACAGTCGTACACACAGTCGTACACACAGTCGTACACACACACTCGTACACAGTCGTACACGCACACTCGTACACACACAGTCATACACAGTCGTACACACACACACACACACACACTCGTACACACACAGTCGAACACACACAGTCGTACACACACTCGTACACAGTCGTACACACACAAACACACTCGTACACACACACTCGTACACACACAGTCGTACACACACACACTTGTACACACAGTCGTACACACACACTTGTACACACAGTCCTACACACACACACTCGTACACACACACTCGTACACAGTCGTACACGCACACTCATACACACACTCATACACACACAGTCATACACAGTCGTACACACACACACAGACACACACTCGTACACATATAAGAAATATCACACTCAGTCATGTGACAGGTCTTTATATCTATATCAGATGGGCTGCAGCTTTACATTTGCGTGAAAAAAATGTTTTTCAATAATTCATGCACTTTTCAAGTACCTTTTCATAACTACGGCTGTTTTCCAGGACTTGCATTTCAAAAAGTCTTCCATACTGTGTTAGAAACGTTATCTCTGTTTCCCTGGTGTTATTAAACAAGAGGCCATAACCCTTGCGTGAGATAGCGGCGTCAATCTAGATTGGGTTTATGAGCCGAGAAGTGATCGAAACCACAGTCTGTGTTCCTGACCCGAGCGTCGTGTCTGAGGAGATCAAACTCAAGTCTGGCGCTCTAAAGCATTCCACATTCAAATAGAGTGTAAATATAATTTAGTACCATAAAATCCCCTTAAAATACAAAATATTAAATAAAAACATTTTCATTGAAATAAAACATTTATAATGCGTAAATTTATGTCGTAAACTTGGTGCGTAATGAATGAAGTCATTCTGCACACGGATGTCTCCAGACGTTCACAGAAACGTTATCTCTGATTCTTCTGTGTTCCTGGTTTTATTAAACAAGAGGCCATAAAACAAACACCCGATCGAAACCTGCATGAGATAGCGGCATAAATCTGCGTTCGGTTGATGAGACGAGCTGTGAAACTGCACTGATGGACACTAGCGCTGTTGTTTAAGGCAGAGGATCGGCGGTCACTAGCGGCGGCGGGTGTTTGAAATAAATAATAAACGAGTATCAAACTTCCAGACATGCGTGTTTATTTGAGCACTTCCGTCAAAGAAACGACACACTAATAAAGCATTGAAATAAATATCGGTAAATAATGCTAACTTAAATTAATAAAGGTTAATATTTAAAACATATTTCTAATATCTCCATGTTTTCTGCTTGTTGTAAAAGCTCTGAAGAGTGTGTGTGATCCTCCACAAGGGCGAGGCATTTAGGCTGAGCTTGATCTTACACTGCCAGAGAAAGCCACACTAAAATCACCCGCGCGTGTGAAACACACTTTACAAATACACTTGCCATGTCTAATAACGAGCACAACTGTCTTAAAGGGATACTCCACTTTTTTTGGAAATAGGCTCATTTTACAACTCCCCCAGAGTTAAACTGTTGAGTTTTACCGTTTTTGAATCCATTCAGCCGATCTCCGGTTCTGGCGGTACCACTTTTAGCATAGCTTAGCATACATCATTGAAGTGGACAAGACCATTAGCATTTCTAAAAAAAAAAATGACCAAAGAGTTTCGATATTTTTCCTATTTAAAACTTGACTCTTCTGTAGTTACATCGTGCACTAAGACCGACGGAAAATGTAAAGTTGCGATTTTCTAGGCTGATATGGCTAGGAACTATACTCTCATTCCTGCGTAATAATCAAGAAACTTCACTGCCGTACCATTAGTGCAGCAGGCGTAATGATTAGGGGTGGTGAAAAAAATCGATTATTGATTAATCGCGAGTATGTTATGGACGAGTATGAATCGATTATTACATTTTCAAAAATCGATTTTTTATTATAAAAAAAAAAAATTGCATTATTTTATTTTGTAAAATATGTTATACCGGAAGTTGAACGTCACGAACGCGCCCAGTTCCAGTTAAGCGCGTCGTGTAACGGCAGCCAGAGCGAGTGAGAGCAGGTGTGCCGGAGACACACTGGCTGCGTGGCGGCGTCTCAGCTGCGTGGTGTGTCCGTTTTTATTTCGGCTCCCATGTTAACAGGTTAGAGCTTGCACACTGCCTGCATGAGCCGCGCGGAAAACGCGTGCATGCTAGAAATAGAACCGACGCCTATTTTTCACGTGACACGCAAGCGTGTTGGAAGCGTTTCCAGGCAAAATAGAATAGGAAACGATGTTTATATGTCATTTTGTACACGAATACATATTAATAAATTACATTTTGATGTTTGAAAGTCTAGGTTTTGATATAAATTCAGATATCAATGTAATTTAAACAAATAATAATAATTATCGATTTTCAAATATTGCCATTATTTTTGCCTATATACAAATTTATGTCATTTTTATTTTTTAAACAATCGAGTCCTGGTGTTCACTACAGAGGTCATAGCATAACATATGAATAAAATGTTTGTTTCTTATGCTCTTAACAATGTGATTACATGAAGAAGAAAAACATCTTTTGAAAAAAAACGTTCTGGGCCTCAGGAGGATATAAAGATAATAGGCTACAATAACAACATAGTGTGTCTTCTGAGTGACGGTCCACCATCAGGCTAAATATAGGCTCTTTAAAGCTACACAAAATTTGTAAATGTTATTAAAATAAACAGACAGCCCACTTCCCTATTTTTCGGATTTTGGAAGATGTGTGATAACAGTTGAAATTGTTGTCGTAAAGGCAAGAGGCAAGAGTTGAAATTGTTGTAGTAAGGATTAACACACCGCTAACCCAAATGTAGACTGTCCCTCTATGTCACCTAGCAGCAGCGGCGCCGCGTCAGACACGCTTCTGGTGTGCAAAGACACAGAAAACGCGACGCAGCTGACACGCAACAGAAACGCCACGCTCACGCCACGCAGCCAGTGTGTCTCCGGCCTAACGAGCGTTGCTTGCTACAACACCTTGTCTTTCTAGAAGAAAATTGTCCAATTTCTACAGTATGTTGGTTCTGATCTACTTCCTAAAGGAAATAAGCCTTTCATTTATTTGTTATTGTTTAGTTCAACTTGATGAGTCACAACACAATGTGATGTATTCATGTTCTACAGAACATAAGCTACATACAAATAATTCTGAAGTTATAACTACACGACACAGAAAGTGCTTTGAGTTGTTGTTACTCAATAAAAGAGTTAAGTAATTCAGCAGCTGACTTTTTTTAATACTGCAGACACTTTGTAGTGTATTTTCGTTTACTGTTGTGAAATGGAAAATCAATAATCGCTAATCGAGAATCGTTAATAATCGAAAATCGACTGTAATCGAATCGGGACTTCAATAATCGTAATCGAATCGAATCGGGAAATCAGACAGATTAACCACCCCTAGTAATGATATGACGCAGCGCCTGAAAATAGGCCACCTTCCGTCAACACAACGGAACTATTTTCAGGCGCTGCGTCATATCATTACGCCTGCTGCTCTCATGGTACGGCAGTGAAGTTTCTTGATTCGGGAAGCGAGAGCATGTCCAGTGGAGTAACTAGTGGAATATTGATAAATTCGCTGATAAAACAAAGCCGACACCGCTGAGATTTATGGGCTCCCGCGATCGACACTTGCGTGAGATGGCCCGTTGGGTTCGTGAGACGAGCTGTGAACTGCACTGATGCTGACCCACTGTCTGTTCCCCAGATCGCGGACTTCGGGCTGTCGAACCTGTACCGGGGCGACCGGTTCCTGCAGACGTACTGCGGCAGCGCCCTCTACGCCTCGCCCGAGATCGTGAACGGCCGGCCCTACAGGGGCCCGGAGGTGGACAGCTGGTCCCTGGGCGTGCTGCTCTACACACTCGTCCACGGAGCCATGCCGTTCGACGGACACGACCACAAGCACCTGGTCCAGCAGATCAGCAGCGGGAACTACCGCAGACCCACCAGACCGTCCGGTGAGGCGCTGACCAAACACACACACACACAAATCATGGACATGATCTGAACAGGTTTAATGGTGCTGTAAACAATAGTCACACTTCCACTGGAAACGAATGGAGAGTTTCCTCTAGTGGAAGCGTGTGGAACTGCAGCCGAACACACTCTCACTGACGCTCGTTTACTGAGAGATCAGACTCACATGCGGAACACCACCGGTGTAGAGTTACGGCTTTGATTTTATCAGTTTTAGAGTAAAACGTGTTTTTCAAAATACATATTTCATATAAAAATTAAAAATAGTATTTTTGCACATTTTTCATAACAATAAACGTAAAAATCTGTAACTTTTTTTTAAGTTCACTTTTTTCACTTACACAATAATCTGCCGAGTGTCGTCTTTGAGGAGAGATCAAACTTCAGTCTGTCGCTCTAAAGCGTTCGAGATTTACCAGTTTAAGTTGGAAATGTAATTTTCAGGTCTACGCTCAAAAAGTGAATAAATGGATTATAAATACAGCGTAAATATAATGTAGTACCATAAAATCCCCTAATAATACAAAATATTAAATAAAAAACATTATCGATCTAATAGTACATTAATTTAATTGAAATAAAGAAATAAGCACGTGAAGAGCAGCACAGGGTTAAAACGAGACACGGAACTGGTTTACTGTGTTTGTCGAAGGTCCAAGCTTAGTGAACCATGGCGATGTTTTATAGCTAGAGCTTATCTGTTCCTAGCAGATAACGCTGTGAGTTGTGTGCCATGTGTTGACCTTGGCAGCCTCATAAAATTGAGTTGATCTGGGAGTCAAGTTCACAACGACAGCAGCTTTATTCGTACAGTCACCATGCTTTCACTTATCGAAAATCTTTGTTTTAATCTATCCCTGCATATGGCAAACCATAGAGAGCAAGACACTGCCCAGAGTAACATGAGCTAGTCTTGCCAAACCGGTTCCTGGAGCCACACCCCAACAGCACACAGTCTATTTTTAGAGACTCTACTAACAAGCGTTGAGTTGAATCAGGTGTGTTTGATTGGGAAGAGTTGAGGATGTGTACGTTTGGTGTGTCCACAGGAACAATGGATTTCAGTATCCCATGCTTTCATTCCCATTAGCATTGAGCATTCGATATTGTTGATCATTTGCATAGTTGCATAGACCTTTGAAACCACGCCACATTGCTGGACACGCCCACATCGCATCGCCAACTCTCACTGAATAGGGATGGTCACCAAAAGTCTTCCAGTCGGCAAAAGTCTAATGTTGGAGACCAGGGGTGTCCAATGACTCCAATCCTGCTTCTGGAGCGCCACTTTTCTGCAGAGTTTGGCTCAAACACACCTTTAGTAGACATTGGTAGCCATTAGTAGCCATTGGTAGCCATTAGTAGCCATTAGTAGACATTAGTAGACATTAGTAGCTCTTTTTGACCCCAAATGACGTTTGCTGAAATAAAATTAAAAGTTCTCTTTGTCCAAATGGCACGAGACTTTGTACAGTTGTCAACACTTTCTAGATCTACAAATAAAAAAAAAATTGGAATGATATCTGTTTTTTTTATGTTAGTGTGGAAAAAAAAGAGACCCCAGGCAACAAAATGTTAAAAAAAAATTTTTTACTTGGTTTATTAATGTTTTTATTCCACAATTGTGCAGTTTTGGGAGGATTTATTATATATATATATATTTTAATGAAAAAAAATTGCAGTTTTAAAAGTAAAAAAAATCACTTTTTCCAGTAGATGGCTGTAGAGCTCCATTATTTGCTATTTGACTAAATGAAAGACATCTTTTGACAAGTACAAAACATGACAAAAAGTTATTTTTATTGTTATTATTGTGATTTCATTATATTTAGATATGAATCCAACTGGAAAAACTTAGTCCAATAGTGGAGCTCTGCAGCCATCTACTGGTTAAAGTGATAATTTTTAACTATTAAAACGGCATTTTCCAAAATCTTACACTAAACCATGTCATATTATCCATGTTATCCCCATGAATGAAAGTAGTTAGAAATGTGGGTCTTAAAAAATATAATAAATCATCCCCAAAATGCACAAATGCTGAGTAAAAACATTAATAAACTGAGTAAAATATATATTTTTTTTACAAAATTACATTTTGTTGCCCTGTTGTCAAATCCAATGCTAATGCTCTTTGTCGCCCCACAGATGCGTGTGGTTTGATCCGCTGGATGTTGATGGTGAACCCAGATCGTAGAGCTACACTGGATGAGATTGCAGGTCACTGGTGGCTCAACTGGGGCTATCAGCTCCCCCTACAGGCTCAGATCGACACCGCATCGGTGTGTCCGACACATGTAGCGTCTCAAACCAGCGGCCCGACTCGCATCGCGGACTGGCTACGCCGCACCTCGCGCCCTCTCCTGGAAAACGGTTCTAAGATGCGTTGCCTATTGCGTACGGGTGGAGGAGAACCAGTTCAGCGACAGCGCTCAATACGCAGGTCGCGCAAAGAAAACAACGTTTCGCAAACAATGCAAGAATCACCTCGCCCGTTTAAAGGCATCCTGAAGAAGCGTGGAAGTCTAAAACAGAAACTGGCTCCCGGGGACTCCCAGGCTACACCCTTGGAGGAGAAAACCAAGAACTCTTTGGCTCCGCCGCCTCCACCTCCTAAAGGCATCCTGAAGAAGCCTTCCGAAGGTGAGTCGGGATACTACTCCTCATCCCCGGAGAGTTACGACTCCGGGCGGACTCTCGGGAACGCGTCGCCTGCGCAGAACCGCAAGGGAATCCTCAAACGCCATGGCAAGTTTTCCGGAGGACTCCAGGGATTCGGATCTCTGGATAAGCTCTCGCCTTCCTTGCCCTCGGTGGTCAACAAGTCCCGACCGAGTGGAGCAATCAGCGAGGACAGCATTCTCTCCTCCGAGTCTTTCGACAGACTTGACCTTCCCGATCGGGAGATTCCCGACGCTCCGATGGAGAGACGAAGAATGCGAGGATGCGTATCCGCTGATAATCTCCTCGACTTAAGAGAGGACGGGCCAGGGACTCTGCTCAAGGGACACTGGGAAATGGACGTAGCTTGCTATCGTGCAGGAGTGTCCGATAGCGTGTTTTCAATCTCCGACTGCGAAAACGTCACTCGGACTTACAAGCAAGCCTTGGGAGCGACTGCTAGCTAAGATGGACCACGACTATGAAGTGCAGAATCTGCAACTCGGTTGTGCCTAGAAAGGTAAACAAGTTGGAAATAAAGGAAAGGACTTGGAAGCGTTCCTGACGAACGCTGGTAAATCTGCAACTCTGTTGTGCCTAGAAAGGAAAACAAGTTGGAAACAAAACAAGGAAAGGAATGCTGGTATTGGAACGGCTTCAGGTCAGACAGGAAGTGGGTCTTCAAGAGGACAGGAAGTCCTGTGCGACAGACTCGTTTGGGACACATTTCATTCCGAGGGAACGGCAGTTTTTTGGTGCGTTTGCAACCAAAACCGCTTTTATAATGTAGACTTGATTTGAGAAAAGTGCCTTTTATTTTGTCAAATGATCAACAATCAACAACTAACTTGTTATCCTTTGAGATGTTTGACAGTCACATGACTGTTTAGGGTGTTGGCTAGTCAAAAAGTACCAAAGATCTATTGTGAATTTGTTTTAAAGGTGAATATTGGTGGTAGATGACAACAATGTACAAGAACACGTGCAGGAAAACTCAAAAGGTCTCAATTTGCGAAGATTGACTAAAGCTCTCCTTAAGATCGTTCCCGCCAATTTCTGACTGTTTAGGGTCAAAAAGTACCAAAGATCCATTGTGAATTTAGATCATCTGTTTGTTTTAAAGGTGAATATTGGTGGTAGATGACACAAATGTACAAGAACTCAAGAGGTCTCAATTGGCAAAGATTGACTAAAGTCCTTAAGATTGTTCCCGCAAATTTCTGAGTTTTACAACATGCCATAAATGACACGTGTGCGACGGATACAGTAAACTATTGTCTTTTTATGACTTTTTATGTAGTCTAGACTTTAGTTACATGTTTAAATTGTGCAGATAGGAGTTTATTAGGATGGTGAAATGCGCCGTGACCTCCCCACACAAAAGGATTACACTAAAAGCGGATTTTTTTGTCTCCAAATCCTTTTGAGAAATGTGTTGAAATGGTTTTGGGCAACTGGACGTTTACTTCCAGTTGTAAAGGCAAGCTAAGAATGGGAAAGAGTGATATTTCAGTGTCATAACAGGGTGTTTATCAGTAAATCTGCTTGTCTTGAGTTTCTAAACTCTTCATACAGTATTGGTAAGAGTCCATTGGAGCGGCAGTGAGATCTTTTCATGGGGTTTCATGGTTATGAAGGGTTTTCTTCTGTTTGGTGCCATATTTGTTTGAGTTTCTGTATGCTTGCTTGCCAAAGTGCCTGATTTATCTGCCCTGACGTCTGCTTGAATCAGTGGACCAATAAAACAGCACAAATTAAGTTGAAAACGCTTTGAATGTCTGTTCTTGTGTTCCCATGATAAGCTTTTGAATAACAGTAAATTACTTTATCGTAGACTGTTTTCCAGTTCACATTTTAAAGTCCCCCTGTGGTGAAAATCCAGCGTTTAATGTTGTTTATGTGTCTATGTGGTGTTTTTAATACGCTTTAAGACACACCATGTGTAAGTTCATAAGTCGACAGCATTGCTGAGTATTTTCTGCTTAAAACTGCAGTGAACCAAAGACAGTCTCAAAAACACGGTTTGAAATCGCTGGTGTTTCTGACGTCACAAACGACCTTGTAACCAATCAGATCAACGTGTGATCGTCAACCAGTGGATCTCTGAGCTGAGTGAGTGGAGGCGGGGCTCATTTGCATATTCATAGAACCGTGCATACTAAATGAGGCAAGGGTGTCGAGTTACATTCAAGATATTTTAAGGCATGAAGACATTTTTCAAAGAAAAAACTTTTAAATATGTAATTTTGCTGATCAAAGATGAGTTTTGAGGGATAACATTATTGACTACAGGGGGACTTTAAACACTAGTGTGTGAGAAATGTGTTGCAGTTTTTAAAAAGTGAAATAATAATGAAAGTTCTGAAGTGGTAGTTTGACCCGACACTTGTGTTATTTTAGTTAACTAAAACTAGAACATTTTTGTTAATTGAAATTAAATAAAATATAAAATACAACAAATATATATTTTAGCTAGTTGCCAGTTTAGCTAGTAACATTTAATATTTTTGTTTAGTTTAACTTGATGTACTAAAATAACTAAAACTAACACTGAAAAACTATATAGATGTTTTTTTTTTTAAGTAGAGTAAATAAAAAATGTACTAAAATTGACCCGAAACCAGAAAATGCACAAATAAAAACTCACTAACTCGCCTGAAAATATACTTTTTCTTATCTTAATCATTTCCATTTCCAAACCTGTCAAAAAGTATCCCAGCTATGTTTTACCCTAAAATAAAGACAAAAAGATTTTACACTTAATTTTGCATTATTATTTACATTTGCATTTAAACACCCTCTAGTAATTAGTATGCAAAAATATTGATTATTTTAAAGTAGGCATTTATCATGGTAGCATTTGTTTTTCTGAATTTAATTTACACTGATTTTTATTAAGAACTGTGTGAAATTGGACAAAAACATGCTTAATTGTCATAAAAACAATCTCATTATGTAAAATACGCTTAATTGTCTTAATGCAAAAAGGCTTTCTTCTGATATCCGGGTGAAATGTGACGTGTGTGTGTGTGTGTGAGATTGACCAGGTCAGTGTTAGAAGCAAACCAGCATTCACCATCCTCATATTTTATTTTCACATATTTCAAGTTTAAAATGGAGAAAAGTTACATGTCAATCGTAGAATTAATCATTGACTAAAATCAGCAGCGTGTGTGTTTGACAGCAGAACATCTGCTAGGTAAAGACGAACGTGAACGTGGTCAAGCAGTGCAGTGGAACTGGGAACACTGGGAAGAAGCTAGAGTTGATCAGCCGGTGGGGCGTCCCGGACCGCAGGTGTAGACGGAAGCGTCAGCCCGATGGTTTCCTCCAGAGACGAGAAGCACTGAAGCAGAGAAGCCTGAACCACAGACACTCACTATTTCAACCTTTCATCATAATTCTACCTTAGTATGTCATGATTTTGACTTTTTCCTCATGATTTTAATTTATATGTTACAATTTTCACTTTTAATCTCATAATTGACTAAGTCAAATTAATATGTCATAATTTAAACTTTTTATGTCATATTTGGCTTTTTCTCGACTTTTTCTCTATTTAGAAATTTATCAAAAAATTATTGTGGCTTGTCACAATTTTGACTTTTTCCTCATAATTACAACTTCTAATGTCATAATTGTGACTTAGTATTTCATAATTTTGAATTTTTAAGTCATATTTTCACTTTTTATGTAATAATTATGACTGTCATAATTATTACTTAAAAAAGCTAAAAATCTAAATAAATCAAAGTCATGATTATTACATAAAAAGTCAAAATTATGAAAAAAAGTTGAAATTATGACATTATATCATAATTTTGACCTTTTATGTCATTAAGTTGATTTTTGGATAAAATTCAAAATTGACAAAAAGTTGTAATTATAAGAAAAAGTCCAAATTATGACGAAAAGTTAATTATGACAAAAGTAATGACATAAAAAGTCTAAATTATATGTCATTACTTTTGTCATAATTCACTTTTTTTCATAATTTAGATTTTTTATGTCCTAATTTTGACCCTGTCCTATTGTGGTTTAGGGAAGCATGATTATGTTCTCCTGTGTGTATGAAGGTGTGTGTGTCCTCACCATGTCCAGGTCCACACACTGGCCGTATGTGTGTGTGTGTGTGTGTGTGTGTCCTCACCATTTCGAGGTCCACACACTGGCCGTATGAGTGTGTGTGTGTCCTCACCATGTCCAGGTCCACACACTGGCCGTATGAGTGTGTGTGTGTCCTCACCATGTCGAGGTCCACACACTGGCCGTGTGTGTGTGTGTGTGTGTCCTCACCATGTCGAGGTCCACACACTGGCCGTATGAGTGTGTGTGTGTGTGTGTGTGTCCTCACCATGTCGAGGTCCACACACTGGCCGTATGAGTGTGTGTGTGTGTGTGTCCTCACCATGTCGAGGTCCACACACTGGCCGTATGTGTGTGTGTGTGTGTGAGTGTGTGTGTGTCCTCACCATGTCCAGGTCCACACACTGGCCGTATGTGTGTGTGTGTGTGTGTGTGAGTGTGTGTGTGTCCTCACCATGTCCAGGTCCACACACTGGCCGTATGAGTGTGTGTGTGTGTCCTCACCATGTCGAGGTCCACACACTGGCCGTATGTGTGTGTGTGTGTGTGTGTGAGTGTGTGTGTGTCCTCACCATGTCCAGGTCCACACACTGGCCGTATGTGTGTGTGTGTGTGTGTGTGAGTGTGTGTGTGTGTGTCCTCACCATGTCCAGGTCCACACACTGGCCGTATGAGTGTGTGTGTGTGTGTGTCCTCACCATGTCGAGGTCCACACACTGGCCGTATGTGTGTGTGTGTGTGTGTGTGAGTGTGTGTGTGTCCTCACCATGTCCAGGTCCACACACTGGCCGTATGTGTGTGTGTGTGTGTGTGTGAGTGTGTGTGTGTGTGTCCTCACCATGTCCAGGTCCACACACTGGCCGTATGAGTGTGTGTGTGTGTGTGTCCTCACCATGTCGAGGTCCACACACTGGCCGTATGTGTGTGTGTGTGTGTGTGTGTGTCCTCACCATGTCCAGGTCCAGGGCGTTCCTCAGGAGTTTCAGGAGGTCGTCGGCGCTGAGCGAGTCTTTCAGGAGATTCAGTCGAACAACAGCCGCCGTCACACACGAACAGGCCACCAGTGACGGAGCGAAGACCGAGAACTTCAGCTCTGAAACACACAACACAAGCCCCGCCCCTTAAAATCAACATCCACCAATCCTGCTTCAGCTCTGAAACACACAACACAAGCCCCGCCCCTTAAAATCAACATCCACCAATCCTGCTTCAGCTCTGAAACACACAACACAAGCCCCGCCCCTTAAAATCAACATCCACCAATCCTGCTTCAGCTCTGAAACACACAACACAAGCCCCGCCCCTTAAAATCAACATCCACCAATCCTGCTTCAGCTCTGAAACACACAACACAAGCCCCGCCCCTTAAAATCAACATCCACCAATCCTGCTTCAGCTCTGAAACACACAACACAAGCCCCGCCCCTTAAAATCAACATCCACCAATCCTGCTTCAGCTCTGAAACACACAACACAAGCCCCGCCCCTTAAAATCAACATCCACCAATCCTTTATCCATTAATATCCACATTAATAACAGGATTTTATTTAATAATATTCTTGAACGATTTACTAAATTAATTGCAAGTCACAGTTGTGATTCATTCAGTTTTATCCAGTGTTGTGTGAAAAAATGAACTTAAAGTGAAATATCAGATAGAAATGCTTCACATATGAATGAATGCAGTGTATCACTGTGCACAGACACCGCCGCCGCCGCCGCGAGCTGCCACAGCGCCAGCAGCCAATCGGATACAGACGTCCTTCGCGCTGCTGATTCCGGAGAAACATCCGATGGAAACTTTCGTTCCTACCAAAACATTAGTTCCGAGACAGTGCAGGAGAAGCTCATCACCGCCGCTGCTGGCTTCCTCTCATTCAGGACGCCGTTTGCTTATAGTTACAAAAGAACGAGGCATTGGAAATATTTGCGAACGCTCATTTTAAAGGTGCCCTAGAATGTTTTTTTTTATTATTTTATAATGTTTCCTGGGTTACCCTTATAATGTTAGTATGTTTTTTAGATAAAAAATAATCATAATTTAGAAATAAATGGCATTTTTCCTAGCCTGCTTTTAGCCTCTGATTTGAACGCTCTGTTTGAAGGGGCGTGTCTCTGTGGGATTCAGTGTAACCGCGGCCACTGCTGTGATTGGCTGTGGGATTCAGTGTAACCGCGGCCACTGCTGTGATTGGCTGTGGGATTCAGTGTAACCGCGGCCACTGCTGTGATTGGCTGTGGGATTCAGTGTAACCGCGGCCTCTGCTGTGATTGGCTGTGGGATTCAGTGTAACCGCGGCCACTGCTGTGATTGGCTGTGGGATTCAGTGTAACCGCGGCCACTGCTGTGATTGGCTGTGGGATTCAGTGTAACCGCGGCCACTGCTGTGATTGGCTGTGGGATTCAGTGTAACCGCGGCCACTGCTGTGATTGGCTGTGGGATTCAGTGTAACCGCGGCCACTGCTGTGATTGGCTGTGGGATTCAGTGTAACCGCGGCCACTGCTGTGATTGGCTGTGGGATTCAGTGTAACCGCGGCCACTGCTGTGATTGGCTGTGAGTCTTCAGTGTAACCGCGGCCACTGCTGTGATTGGCTGTGAGTCTTCAGTGTAACCGCGGCCACTGCTGTGATTGGCTGTGGGATTCAGTGTAACCGCGGCCACTGCTGTGATTGGCTGTGGGATTCAGTGTAACCGCGGCCTCTGCTGTGATTGGCTGTGGGATTCAGTGTAACCGCGGCCTCTGCTGTGATTGGCTGTGGGATTCAGTGTAACCGCGGCCACTGCTGTGATTGGCTGTGGGATTCAGTGTAACCGCGGCCACTGCTGTGATTGGCTGTGGGATTCAGTGTAACCGCGGCCACTGCTGTGATTGGCTGTGGGATTCAGTATAACCGCGGCCACTGCTGTGATTGGCTGTGGGATTCAGTGTAACCGCGGCCACTGCTGTGATTGGCTGTGGGATTCAGTGTAACCGCGGCCACTGCTGTGATTGGCTGTGGGATTCAGTGTAACCGCGGCCACTGCTGTGATTGGCTGTGGGATTCAGTGTAACCGCGGCCACTGCTGTGATTGGCTGTCAGTCTTCAGTGTAACCGCGGCCACTGCTGTGATTGGCTGTGGGATTCAGTGTAACCGCGGCCACTGCTGTGATTGGCTGTGGGATTCAGTGTAACCGCGGCCTCTGCTGTGATTGGCTGTGGGATTCAGTGTAACCGCGGCCTCTGCTGTGATTGGCTGTGGGATTCAGTGTAACCGCGGCCACTGCTGTGATTGGCTGTGGGATTCAGTGTAACCGCGGCCACTGCTGTGATTGGCTGTGGGATTCAGTGTAACCGCGGCCACTGCTGTGATTGGCTGTGGGATTCAGTGTAACCGCGGCCACTGCTGTGATTGGCTGTGGGATTCAGTGTAACCGCGGCCACTGCTGTGATTGGCTGTGGGATTCAGTGTAACCGCGGCCACTGCTGTGATTGGCTGTGAGTCTTCAGTGTAACCGCGGCCACTGCTGTGATTGGCTGTGGGATTCAGTGTAACCGCGGCCACTGCTGTGATTGGCTGTGGGATTCAGTGTAACCGCGGCCTCTGCTGTGATTGGCTGTGGGATTCAGTGTAACCGCGGCCACTGCTGTGATTGGCTGTGGGATTCAGTGTAACCGCGGCCACTGCTGTGATTGGCTGTGGGATTCAGTGTAACCGCGGCCACTGCTGTGATTGGCTGTGGGATTCAGTGTAACCGCGGCCACTGCTGTGATTGGCTGTGGGATTCAGTGTAACCGCGGCCACTGCTGTGATTGGCTGTGGGATTCAGTGTAACCGCGGCCACTGCTGTGATTGGCTGTGGGATTCAGTGTAACCGCGGCCACTGCTGTGATTGGCTGTGGGATTCAGTGTAACCGCGGCCACTGCTGTGATTGGCTGTGGGATTCAGTGTATCCGCGGCCACTGCTGTGATTGGCTGTGGGATTCAGTGTAACCGCGGCCACTGCTGTGATTGGCTGTGGGATTCAGTGTAACCGCGGCCACTGCTGTGATTGGCTGTGGGATTCAGTGTAACCGCGGCCACTGCTGTGATTGGCTGTGGGATTCAGTGTAACCGCGGCCACTGCTGTGATTGGTTGTGGGATTCAGTGTAACCGCGGCCTCTGCTGTGATTGGCTGTGGGATTCAGTGTAACCGCGGCCTCTGCTGTGATTGGCTGCTGTGGGATTCAGTGTAACCGCGGCCTCTGCTGTGATTGGCTGTGGGATTCAGTGTAACCGCGGCCACTGCTGTGATTGGCTGACATGCTTGCATTATGAAATAGCAACGCATTACATGTGAAACTCTCTCCCGAATACTTTTACTACTGCTATTATACGTTTTTACTATAACAGCTATCGAGATGAACGAATCGTGAGATGTTTTTAAAGTATTTAGATCTATTCCCATCACATAAAATGTTGCCGTGATGAGCATTGAGCAGATGACAGTGTGTTGATCGCGAGAATGAAGATCTAATCATTGCAAAGCAGTTTCTGCACTCTCTCTGCTTTCACCAATGCAAACACGATGATGTAAATACAGTAAGAGCTTCGTTGTGCAGTAACGTGCGTCATTGATTTCATAACGAGTTTGGCAAGTGTCCAGATAAACTCGCGCTGTGTGGAAAGATTGTTCTTTGATCGCTTTCTGTATATAATTTGTTCACAATTTAAATACGATTATTTTCATCCTACTAAAAGAAACGATGTGAAGCTGATATTTTAGTCACTGGCTTGACTTACTGATGCATAAACAGTATTGAACGATTTTGAGAGAAAGATTACCTGTCTGAACTTGAACAATTACACATCAGAAAGTGTTGCTTGGTAGCTCGATCCGAGGCCAGCTCTGTATTGGCCCAAGTTGAGGAAACACTCGGTAAAATGTTTGGAAATTTCCAGAGAAAATAAAATTAACCCATTGTTTCTTCAGAGGCTCAGATGAAGGAACTAAAAAATAACTTTGTGTTCATGTGTACATCCACACTGAGCAACTGCCATGCTTCGGCTGCGCAGTTCCGCCTGGCATTGAGGGCTGGCATTATGCAATTATTTGGAGGCGTACATATTAATGATCCCGACTATTGCGTCACAGTCGGTATTGTGTGGAGAACCGACCGTTTTTCAGGGGTGTTTTTCATAAACGTGAATTAAATGAGAACGCGAAAACAGTCCAGTTTGAGATTCACTCTATGTCATGTCCATGCACTGAACTCTTGTTATTTTACTATACCAAGATAAATTCAATTTTGAATTATAGGTCACCTTTAAGCGGGAATGCAATAAATTTGCTCACGGTAACACCGATTTGACCAATTGCACTAATGCAAATAATAATAATAATAATAATAGCTAATTATTCTTTTTTTTCCCGACCAAATGTGACCAAAACGGTTATAAAAATGCTGTCATTATAAAAGGTTTCTTCAATGTATTGCTTGTTTTTTTCTGTTTCCATTTCCTGTTGTGCCGCTTCTCTCCTCCCTGCTCCGCCACAGCGGCCACAAGCTCAAGGCGGCGGCGGTGTGAACACAGAAACTCCACACGTGTGCCGTGAAGCTTCAGTGCTGAGCTCACACCGCTGACTCGCTGATGACCCTCGAGCGCAGAGGACAACAGCGGGATAATACACTAATTCACCCGCGACGCACCGCTTATACAACCAACAAAGAGCAGATCAACGACAGAGAAGCTGCTGACGCGTCTGTGTGTGTGTGTGTGCGCACGTGTGTGTGTGTGCGCGCGTGTGTGTGTGTGTGTGTACCTGTGGCGCTCAGGGCGATGTAGGAGTGTGTGTGTCTCCTCAGGGCCGGGTGGTTCTGCACTTCGAGCGGCAGCACCTGCAGTAACAGCTCCAGGAAGTCAGAGGGCAGCACTGAGGCCAGATCCCAGCGGAGCCGCGACACCAGCAGCACCTCCCACTGCTGCACACACACACACACACACACATTACACGACATCACACACACTCGCATCTTCTGCTCTAACGCTACACCCGCTCAGATACTCTACTGTACTCTATTTCCTTTATTTATACGCTTATTTTTTCTTCTATTATTATTGTAATTCTTGTTGGGGTTTTTTTCTTTCTTTTTTTTGTTCCCTCCTCTGGCGGCTGTTCCAGTTCTTGTTTTACATGTTGGTACTATTTGTTTTCTATTGTAGAATTTGTAATAAAAAAGTGTTTTTTACAGAGTGTGATCGCCACCTACTGGCCTGGAGGAATACAGCAGATACAGCGGCTCAAAGGGTTTTCGTTAAGCGTTCGGCGTCTGTACGCGGAAAAACGCGAAGGACGACGTCGCACATCGTTTATACAGCGTTGTCATAAACGCGCCCTTAAATAAAAACCAGCCATGTAATTTAGTTCATTAGCATATCTATTACAAGGTTATTATTGTTAATAACTACAACTAAAAATTTAAAAATGTATTACTTGACATAAAATAAAATATTTAAAAAAAACGTAACACTTAATTTATTTCAGTTAATTGCTATGGAAACATTTCTCATTTTTATAATGAAAGGTTGAAGTACTAAAATAACTAGAACTAAATAAAAACTATAGGCATAAAATAAAAAATAAAAATGACAAAACACGAAACAAAATTACTAAAACTTGAACTAAAATTAAAATGTTAGTGAATATGTCGAATGTGTTTTATCTTACAACGCTTCAAATCAGTGATAATTAAGCATTATTTATTTACTGTTATAGTATTTAATAATATTTTTAATTAGCTTTTATTTTAAAATTTTATTATTACATTCAAAAGTTTATTTTATGTGCTTTTGTCATTTTTAACGGCTCGGTTTTTATATTTCTATTCAAATTTCTTAGTTTTAGTAGACTGTATTGTATTTAAGTTCAGTTCAGTTCGTTCTCATTGTCGTTTAGTAGAGGTCGGAGTGCTAAAATAACTCAATAACGATAACAACTAAAGCTTTCAATTATTTCAATTCCAGTTTAATTTTAGTAATTGTAGTACTTCAACTAAAACTTATTTTATTTCAGCTAGTTGCCAAGGTAACATTTCTAATATATGTTTCTTTTTTTATTATTTTAAATTTGTCTAATATTTATATTTTCTTCATTATGCCAGAGGCGCAAACGGCAGAGAACTATTCTGCCAGAGTGCATCTGTGCTAATATTACCCACAATACCTTGCAGAAGACGAAGAGTTTAATCTTGAGTTTTGAGCAGTTTTCACGGGCCTAAAAGTGACGTTATTTAGTTCTAAAACGACATTGAACATATCGTTGATATTTTTTGTGTATTGTATACAGTTGTATATCATTAATGTAATCTCTGTACGTGTACCTGTGTCACATGACCTTACCAGGATCTCTGGGACGGTGACGGCGTGGTCCGTGTACACGCACAGCTTGGCGGCGCTCAGAGGAACCGATTCCCGGAGTTTGGAGGCCAGGAACATGCAGACGGTTCCCAGAAGCTGCAGGTGGCATTTACGCAGGGCATTCTGGGACATGTACCTGTCCAGGTAGTGAACGGCCAGAGGAAACACCTCCTCCTCACACTTCTGATCCTCACACACCTGCTCAAGAACAACACACATGAGTCCTCTGATGATTCAGATCAGAAAGATTCAAATCAGTGAATCAGAATATGATTCACAAGACATCATCTGACCAGTGATTCGAATCAGTGAATCAGAACACGATGTATTAAACATCATCTGACCAGTGATTCGAATCAGTGAATCAGAATATGATTCATAACAAATCATCTGATCAGAATGGTTCGAATCAGTGAATCAGAACACGATGTATTAAACATCATCTGAACAATATGATTCGAATCAGTGAATCAGAATATGATTCATTCGACATCATCTGATTAGAATGATTCGAAACAGTGAATCAGAATATGATTCATAAGACTCTGACTAGTGATTCGAATCAGTGAATTAGAATACGATTCATAAAACATAATCTGACTAGTGATTCGAATCAGTCAATCAGAATACGATTCATAAAACATAATCTGATCAGTGATTCAAACCAGTGAATCAGAATATGATCATAAGACATCATAAAATGATTATGATTGGAGTTAGTGTTCGGTTCTGATGTGTCCTCACCTGAAGCATCCACCCGGTCAGTATTCTCCGCATGTAGGGCTGCACGTCGGTCTGTTCGGTGCCGGGTTTAACGATGTTCGGTCTCTCCGAGCTCAGCAGGTTCTGACAGACCCGTTTGTCTTGGATCAGAACCGCGTCTCTGAACGCCCGAACCGGTCTGGACTTTATCTGAGAGCTCGAGTCCAGTTTGACATGTTCGTGACAGAATAACTCCATCACAGATTCGTCTGACGGACTCGCCGGTTAAACTTATAGAATCAGTCACGCGGGATTTACGTCAACAAAACTCTTAACGGGCCTAAAAACTATATACACTGTACATTTAGCCGAATTCATGAGTAAAAACGCATTATTTTATTCAGTTTACGGAAGGCTTGTGCGCGAGATGCGGCGCGCGGCGTGACCGCTCTCACGAGAATCGACGAATGATCGTTGTGACGTCACATCGCAGATCGCGACATCGCTTAGTCATCGTGAAACAAAACAGACGTATTTTATTTTAATCTGGACTGAAAGGACTCTGGAGTTTTGTTGTAGTATGTTATGACAATGACATTAATTGTTAATGTTTGTTTTTTTTCTTCATTTCTTCAAGCATTTAATACAATTAATTAAAAAAACGTATTTTATTTTATTGATACGAGGTCCTGGTCTCATGAACTCACAATAACTTTTTTTTCATAATCATTTACTAAATTTAATAACGTCCACCTCAGCTGAAATCAAGCTGTTCCTTATTGATTTAATATAATTTGTCATAGAGATTTCCCCCCATCTAATCCATTTATAATTAATATAACTAAGAAAAATATAATCTTAGTATAACATAACCTTACCAGGATTATAATATAGTCTTCATATAATACATATATATATGTGTGTGTGTGTATATACTTCACTTGTACATGTTTTACTTGTCATGGAAGCAATATTCATTGCGAACAATATTTCTTGTCAAGGTTACAAGCCACGAGTGCCACAATAACAGGTCTGGATGAGTTTATGATTTTATTAAAGTTCTAACCAAGTTAAGTCCAAAAATATAAACATTGCATTACGACAAAAAAGCAAAATATATTGCGGCACAATCCCACGTCATCATCATCATCATCAAGATGCTAGTCCAGCGCGTCGTCAGAGCGGACTCATGGAGGCGGGGTCAGTCGACGGCCATGGCGGGCGCGGCGTCCTCCAGGTCTCGAGACTCGGCGCTCTGCAGCTCTCGCCGGATCTCAGCCGTAACCCCCGGGTGTGTGTGCACCCTCAGCAGGTCCAGCAGCGCCTCCTTCTGCTCGGAGGACAGGTCGGCCCGGTAGCGCTGGGCTAGCGTGAGCAGGCTCTGGTGCCACAGCACCGGCAGCGTCCGGCGGTCCGCGCGGAAGGCCAGGAAGTGTGCGGCCAGCGCGTCCAGCACGCGGAAGGGCAGCGCGTACTTCTTATCCAGCAGCAGCCGCAGGAAGATGCTGTTGGCCCCGGTGTACTCCATCTCCGCCAGCTTCAGCATCGCCGCGCTGCACACAGGACACACACCGCGCGTCAGTGGCGCAACCGGGCGTCAAGTCAACTCACTCACCGGCTAATACATGCTTAAGTCGCCGGCCGTTCACAACTACTACTAGCCACAGAAAGACAGACATGAACCAGATTAACTACGTCATAAAATTTGCATTTCACACATTCAATATCCTGAATCCTTCCTCTTTCTTCCTCATCATCAGACATGTGTTTAGGAGGACAGATCAATAATGCAGGAATAAAACATTACAAAAAAGAGCATGTTGGGAAATAACAGTGTTTTCTGTTCACCGAACACTGTTTAATCTTCACTATTGCTTCAATGCAAGTGAACAAGCGCTGTTATTTGTTGCGTAGTGACGTGTGTGTTCAAGTAAGCAGATTTAATATATTAATATAATATAGTAGTATTTAATATAGCCATATTGGCTCGTGATTTGACAGCGTTACTCGCCACAGTTCCGCATTTGGCGGCCATTTCAAACCCTGGGAGCAACAAATCTCAAAATTCACGGTTCGATATTTATATACATATTTGCTTATCATTTATTACTTAAAGCTCACTTGAAGTTCTTCGATACCACATCATAAACTACTGGCCTAACTGATGAAGATCACACATTATTAAACACAAGTGAACAGTCAGTAATAAAATAAGCACAAATTACAGCAGAGATGAATAACAGTTAAAGTCTAACATTATTCAGGTACAGAAATTAATATTTAAGCCTATATGTAAAATAACACTATTTGTTCACTGTAGAAATGTAATATAGTTTCATCTGTTAAAGGAGAACTCCGGTCAATTTTAACATTGAGCTCATTTTTTTGTACATTTGGAGTGCTGTCAATACAGACAAAAACGACAAAAATCGGTGTTGCCTACACCGTGTTATCCTCTTTTTAAAATTCGCACCCTGTTGCCTTCAATGGGGCAAGTTCTAAACCTGCTTTTAGCCTCTTAACATCCTTAATGTGTCATTACAAGTGCACAGCCATGTGAGTGGTGTTATTAAGAGTGACCACGGTCAATCTGACTGCAGTAGATGTGAAAGATATTAATAAAAATAATGTTAATTCAGCCAGCTCACATACCTGTGTTTACTTCCTGTTGTCGTTCGAAGTCCACAGTAGTCGATTGTCGAGTTCGCGCGCGATCATTGGTAACTAATATAACTAATGATCGCGCGCGAACTCGACAATCGACTACTGTGGACTACACCACTCACATGGCTGTGCACTTGTAATGACACATTAAGGTTGTTAAGAGGCTAAAAGCAGGTTTAGAACTTGCCCCATTGAAGGCAACAGGGTGCGAAATTTAAAAAGAGGATAACACTGTGTAGGCAACACCGGTTTTTGTCGTTTTTGTCTGTACTGACAGCACTCCAAATGTACAAAAAAATGAGCTCAATGTTAAAATTGACCGGAGTTCTCCTTTAAAGCTGTATTGTGATGTTTTCTGAACATTAATGACAGCAGGAATATGAGGCTGCCGTCACTTTAAGAGCGACTGACACACATCCGGTGTCTTCCTGTTCACTGATGACAGGGCCGAGAGAACTCTTGCCGAGACGAGTGTGTAAACGGGTGTTTAGACATTATTGTGTGTTTATGTGTGCGTTCAAGCTCAAGGAAACGAAAGAGGAATCAGTTCGGTGTTCGGCGGTGCGCACAGATATCGCGCGGGTCCCGATCTCGCCTCTTCTTCTGCGGTTAAAATGGTTTGAATGTGTAAATTGGCAAGACAAAACACGTCCAAATGATAAACTTTCACTCTATGATGGTTAAACTTAGCAGTTAATCCGGGAATCGCACGCGAGCCGAACCGTGTGGAGCCGATCTGTACCATTACGTGTGATTCCACTCACTACATGCCACTTCATCTGCATCTGCGAGCGAGTTGACCTTTGACCTGTGTCTAACCCTCACCTGGAGTTGACCTTTGACCTGTGTCTAACCCTCACCTGGAGTTGACCTTTGACCTGTAACGCTCACCTGGAGTTGACCTTTGACCTGTGTGTAACGCTCACCTGGAGTTGACCTTTGACCTGTGTGTAACGCTCACCTGGAGTTGACCTTTGACCTGTGTGTAACGCTCACCTGGAGTTGACCTTTGACCTGTGTGTAACGCTCACCTGGAGTGTAACACTGGGATTGAGCAGCGTGTGAGGATACTCCCGATGATAATGGCTTCTCTCAGCGTACATGTTCCCGATTCACACAGCGGAAGCAGAATCCCTACACACACACACACACACACACACACAGAACTCATAAGTCATTTCACTTTTATTTTATTTTATTTTAACCAACACAGATCTCACCAAACGTGGCCCAGATGATTAATCACGGTAATTGATGTTTTTAATGTTGTTTATGTGTCTATGTGGTGTTTTTAATACGCTTTAAGACACACCATGTGTAAGTTCATAAGTCGACAGCATTGCTGAGTATTTTCTGCTTAAAACTGCAGTGAACCAAAGACAGTCTCAGAAACACGGTTTGAAATCGCTGGTGTTTCTGACGTCACAAACGACCTTGTAACCAATCAGATCAACGTGTGATCGTCAACCAGTGGATCTCTGAGCTGAGTGAGTGAGTGGAGGCGGGGCTCATCTGCATATTCATAGAGCCGCACATACTAAATGAGGCAAGGGTGTCGAGTTACATTCAAGATATTTTAAGGCATGACGACTTTTTTCAAAGAAAAAACTTTTAAATAATAGATGCATTTTAAGGGATAACATTATTGACTACAGGGGGACCTTAAAGACAATTGTTTTCCATTTAAATATGCAAATGATGCATCATCTAATTAAATATGCACTAAAAATTCCAGGATCAAAATTCTCATTTTGTTGACACGGTTTAAACGGTTTTTACAGAGAGCATTTCGGATTTCTCCATTTATCAGAAAACAGAAGAAAAACCAAGTTTTTTAAGTTAAGTTATCAAATATTTATCTTTTATTTTGATTTCATCTTTGTTTTAGTTAACCAAAACCATTTTTAATAGTGTCATTTAACAATAATAGCACTTGAGTTTCTTCTGTGATCTGTTAGTCCAGGGGTCTCAAACTCAAATTAACTGGGGGCCGCTAGAGGTAGAGTCTGGGTCAGGCTGGGCCGCATCAAGTATTCCACAAAAAAATAGTATTCAAGTATTCCAAAAAAGGAGCACAACTGATCCAATCTTCTCAATATTTGTTAACGTTTCTTCTGAACTGTTCCTCTGAATTTGAACATTCCTTTCTGTACATGATTGGTTCTTCATGAGCTGTCCTTCTGACAGTTGAAGTTCATTTTACAAACTTTCTTTGTCTATAACACATATTTGTGATATTTATATTTGCTTATGTCCTTTTTATTTTCTTTATACAACACATTAATGATATTGAATGTTTTTTTTGGAAGGCACATTTCCTTTTATTATACTTAGAAAAACAATTATTGCTTTTGAAATACAAATATTTGCAGTCATGTCTGCCCGTCTTATTGAATTCTTTGTATAGTGTCTCAAATTACTGACTGCACAAATCAAAGCAAACCTTCTTATCAACCTGTTGGACACATATTACAAGCTCAAAGTGATTATTCTCACATTGTTTTAGAGCAGTGTCTCTCTCCAACACGTCGCTCGCGAGCTACCAGTAGCTCGTGGCTTGATTGGTGGTAGCTCGCCAAGGGGCCGTTCGTCACATATCGCGCTCACATATTTTGCGCGCTCAAGTTCGTAATTTCAAATGTAGGCGCGCGGCAAGCGCGCTCATAATTGAAGCGACGCGCTCATTTTTTCCAGGCGCAGTATGTTTGTACTTCGCGGTTGTCTATGACAACTATTGACAACAAACCCTCCGTAAGCTGTCACGAGACTATCTATGGTAGCTCATAAGGGATACTTTTTTTTTTTTTTTTTTTTTACGCGGCACACGCAACGACGGGCCGCACTAACATTAAACTTTAATGTCAAGTAGGGGGCCACAAAATATCACCCCGCGGGCCGCAAATGGCCCGCGGGCCGCGAGTTTGAGACCCCTGTGTTAGTCCCACACGCACACTGTAAAGTCCCCAGCGCCCTCTAGTGTTCAGTCACATATTTACATCATCATTACGGATCATCTTCTCTAGAATAAACACAGCTTTCAGCTAATATTAATATTAGACATCTCATATTCCTGTGTGCATTAATCCACATATTCCCAGTAAACTAAAGCCGCAATTATTTTGATACTGATGCATTTGCACTAATTCTGCACAGATTTTGAGCTTTTAATAAAGTGGTTTTTTTTAGACTAGTGGACAGAAAACATCCAAAATACACTTTTAACGGCCTCTTTTAGAGCACTTTATCTATTTGCGTCTGTAGATTTCAATTACAGTTTATATATTTAAGGTTTTTCCTCCTACATTGAGCCAGAAATCTCATATTCATGTTCATATATAAATTTCCTGATTTTATACAACATTTTATTCCTAACAAAATGGCGGATATGTATTTATTAGTGCTGGGCAAGTTAACGCGTTATTATCGCGTTAACGCATTTATTAATTAATGCCGACAATTTTTTTATCGCGCGTTAACGCAGTTTTTTTTATTATTATTTTGAAAGTCTGTTGCTCACTGCCTCTGAATACACATAGGCCTACAGTCAAACCATGATCACAGGAGGGGTGGGATGTTGGTCAGCCAGCAAATAACCCACCCAAACCAGCAGTGGAAAGGCTTTGGCAGGTTCTCTCAGGTGAACAGAAAGGGAGACAGCGCTCCGCGAGTGAATGACAGGCGCTCTATGGATAGTAACCATGCAACGGCTTCTGTGCGCTACGCAGCTGTAGCCTTTTTAACTTAAATTAAAATTATACATAACTTTACCTGATAGGGCTGCGTTTAGTTTAGCGGGGATGCTCTGCAATGTGAATTCCCTCCTGTTGATGTCCTGATAACTATTTAGATTCTGGAAACTCACAAACAGCGAGCCGAGGATCAGTCTCTCTTCCAATGATTTGTGCTGCGCGTCGTGTACAAAAAGTTAGACAATTCAACTTCGGCAACGCGCGGGCGCGTGCGTGAGGCGAGCATGACTGCAACAGTTTCACAGGAACGCACCCGCTTGTCGCTGCACCTGTGCTCGACCACTTCACCTCACTCTAGGCTGATTTATACTTCTGCGTCGGACCTACGCCGGAGCCTCTACGCTATAGACTACGCGTTGGTTTTCATTTATATATCTGCGTCGTTGTCCGCGTTGACGCGCAATCACACATGCAGAGGGAGAGTGTGAAACCCGGGGAGCGGTTCTAGCAATCACAGCGCTTGCAGTACGCGTAGAATTGGCGTTACATTTTTGGAGAGATGCACGTCAGGGTACGCGCGCTACACAGCTACGGCGTGAGTTCGAGCAGAAGTATAAATTGGGCTTTATCTCTGTTTAATGTAATCTTACGTGGGAAAACATGGCATGCCATGACCAAACCTAAGCTGCTATCAGAGAAGTAACGTTGGTCGACTTAAATCTGTAGTAGTGGTCATGACCCTTTGACTACATAGACTGTTTCTGCTGCTCCCTGATTCAAGATACCTGTTCAGAAAAGAAAAAAAAAAACAAGAAAACTGGACTCTTTTAACAAGCTAGATAAAAGGTAATGCCCTGGCAGTGGCAAATAGCTTTGTTTAAATATTTGATTTGATTACATTAATGTTTAAGTTGAGATTTACAAGAAATATTTTATTGATACTGTGTAAAGGGAATACTGCTGGTGTAAAAGCACCTTATTTGTTTAAAGTTTTTGCAAACCACATGTTATTGCACTTTTGTAGCAGTACATTTAAAGCTCCAGTCCGTAACTTTTTTAAGTTAAAAATAATCCAAAATAATTATATAAAAAAAAAACTTATTCTGCCAGTGGTCAAAACTATCTGCTTGCCATAGCTAGATTGCTAGACCAGATGTTTAGATGTATAGGCTTTTCTCGCAGCACTTTACATAATTAAACTTATGGCGGATCCAGAAAGATCCAAACAACAATCATCAGAGTCAACTGGAGATCCAGCAGTTATAAAACCCAAAAGACTTCGTACTTCGGATTTAAGGTGGAAAGAGAAAGAGAAAGAAACCGTCTCATGCGAACACAAGGATTTAAACATCGGCGGGGCTTTTGAAAAGTGCGTGAACTCCGTGTTTTGAAGGGGTTCAAAACGGAAGAAGAGACGGCTTTTTTCTGCTGAACAAGTAAGACATTTCAATAGTTCAATCGTGTAACAGTACGTTTGCTTAATTCACACAGTTATGGAGTTTCCTTTGTTGTGCCTTTCTCGTTTTGCTATTATGGAGAATATGAATTCTGAACTACGCAGGTAACCATAAAACACATTAAATTTAACATTAGTCACGCAATGCTGATGTTGTTAACATGAACAATTTGAGAACAAAGTAGGCTATAATTTGCACGGTTGCTGTAAATCGCGTTGATTAAATCTAACGAAGCTTATCATGTCGAATGCTTTTTCCCCCTTAGTTGGTCAGAACAAAAATGGATTTTACTTACTTGTTCAGAAGACATTTTCTTATGAAAATTCTTCTGTTGGTCAAACTTTCAAAAAGTGAATCTGTGATTCTGTATGCCAGTATCCACACAGCGCGGTGACTGACAGCAGCACTCGCCTCAAAGCACTGTGTTCATCCGCGCTGTTTCATGCCGATTTACAACCCACGTAAAGATGATAATTCAGCCAATCACTGCAGTTACAGATTTCGAACAGAGATGGCGACAAAGAGGAAAAGATACGGACTGCAGCTTTAAATCAAAAGTGCGCAATACACTACTTTAGAATTCATTATTCAATTTTGCGCGTAACAATGCGATTAATCGCGATTAAATTTTTTAATCGTTGCCCAGCACTAATATTTATGTTTGTCTGTTGACAGTATCAAGTGTGTGATCGTGATATATAGAGATATCCCCTCTGTAGAAACCTTTGCCTCTAATATATATTTTTAAAAATGAAACAAAATGTTGAACCTGAAATTATCCAATTATCCTGGAAATGTATGCAAATTAGACAGACTTGACGCCGGTCGCCAGTTTCGGACACGCGACAGCAGCGAGCGCAATCACCAACGAAAGCCGAGGACAGTTACAGACTGCAAGTTAATAAGTTGATTTATCCGTGTTTTAATATGCTTTCGTTCATAGACATTTTTAGGTCGTGTGGAATCTGCGATCTCTGACCCAGATTGTTTGCTCGTTTCCATGGCTACGATACGCTGTGTTTCCCGCCAACTGGCATCCCGGGGTGTCGAAACACTATTGGCTGAACTGGCAGTGGGCGGAGTCACACAGACCAAAACAGCAACCGACGGACAACACGGAACCCGTGGGTTACAGCACACGGGAAGATGGCTGACCTTTGAACCAGGCTGCGGGTTTGAAGAGCGCCTTCTTGAGCGCGCTGTACAGGTGGAAGTTCAGGCGCTTGTACTCCGTGATATCGTCTCGAACCCGAGGCAACAGCACCAGATTATAGAAGCGCTGAGCCATCCGCTCCTTCAGGTTAGATGAGAAGATCCTACACACACACACACAGGTTTTGACAACACCATTTTGACAGCCCTAGTGTGTAGACTGGGAAGTGTGCATGACCTCTGACCTGGTGGCCTGGTACATGGCGGCGGCGGTCCAGGTCTCCGGCTCGGTGAGGTACAGGACCTGCTCCCAGTTGGAGAGAGCCGGGATGATCTTAAACGCTTTGGGGAGTTTCCCACTCCGGTACTTCGACAGCACCTGCGGAGAGAGAGAGAGAGAGAGAGGGAGAGAGGGGGGGGAGAGAGAGAGAGAGGGAGAGAGAGGGGGGAGAGAGAGAGAGAGAGAGAGGGAGAGAGGGGGGGAGAGAGAGAGAGAGAGAGAGGGGGGAGAGAGAGAGAGAGAGAGAGGGGAGAGAGGGGGGGGAGAGAGAGAGAGAGAGAGAGGGGGGAGAGAGAGAGAGAGAGAGAGGGAGAGAGGGGGGGGGAGAGAGAGGGAGAGAGGGGGGGAGAGAGAGAGAGAGAGGGGGGAGAGAGAGAGAGAGAGGGAGAGAGGGGGGGGGAGAGAGAGGGAGAGAGGGGGGGAGAGAGAGAGAGAGAGGGGGGAGAGAGAGAGAGAGAGAGGGGGGAGAGAGAGAGAGAGAGAGAGAGAGATTCAGAAAAAAAACACTTATATTTCCTCATGAACGTGTTGTTTTTCATCTGATTGTATGCCAAAAAAATAATCTGTGAGTGAACTAACATGAACAGCTGGATTTATATTAACCAACATTAACCAAGATTAATAAATACAGTAACAAATGTAATGCTCAACCGATGTTAACTAATGAACCTTATTGTAATGTTACCAATTTCTTTAATGACACTACCAGACCCATGATTGATCGTTCACAGCGCAGCACTGTAGGAGAAAGGCTAGTTTAGCGCACCTTGCTAACGCCTCTGTAGACCTGCACGACTCGCGGGTCCAGTTGAGGATCGGCTCGTCCTGACACCTCCGACATCACAGTTCCCACTTCAGTCTGCTTCTCCGTGATCTTCTCCATGATGATGTCGGCTAGCGTGCGTCTGTCACACACACACACACACACACACTTACATTTACGCATTTGGCAGACGCTTACATTGCATTTCAAGGCACACATTTACATTCTTATCAGTTCTTGCTTTCCCTGGGAATCGAACCCATGGCCTTGGCGTTGCAAGCGCAGACGCTCTACTGTTTGATCACACACACACACACACACACACACCTGAGCGGCGGGTTCTTGTTCATGAACATCTCGATGGCCTTCTCGTCCTCAGGATCCACGTCCACCTCTCGGCTCTCCTCCACATGATGACCCAGAGCCGGCCACTCCTCGTCGGAGTCTCCGTCCTCTGCGCTCGCACCTGAAACACACGCGCGTCACTGACACTGCGGCTCGTCGTGCTCATATACACACGCACAGCTCTTACTCATATGGACTGTATACAAATATGTTGGTAGTGTGTGTGACGTCACCCGTAGTGTTTCTGAAGCCCAAAGTGGGCGGAGCCGGCCGTCGTCATCTTGGCCGCGCGTCACTCCCGGATAAACGAACACGTGCAGCGAGGCGGATTAGCTGAGGTGACGTGACGCTAAAGCTAGCAGACAAATGGCTAGTAGTGACATCAGCGGCAATCCACCTGTCACTCAAGTGGCCACGCCCTTAATTATGCAGAACTTTAAGGCTTAATATAATTTAAACGGATGAGTTATATAAACATCCCCCCTCACAGTCGTCATGAAGGGCAACATTAGCGATATAGAGCAAAACCACTTTTAGCTCCAGACTGTAAACATGTGTTTTTTCTGCTGTAAAGTTGGGCATTTTAACATGCGGGTCTATGGGACTGAGTCTCTTCTGCAGCCGCCTCTAGTGGCCAGTGGAGGAACTGCAGGTTAAGGCGCTCAGTGTTGAGAGAGAGAGGAAGCGCTTGGTTCAAACCTCACTCCCCTGGACTCAAGAGGCACGCTAGCGACTGAGGCTGCGGTCTTTATTGTCCTTGTTAGCGCCCGCCTCCCACGCCGGAGACCGGGTTCGATTCCCACTCGGAGTGAGATGAGAAGGACCAGTTACATTTGGTGCCGTGACCCGGATGGGAGTGGGGTTTAGGGGGCGAGTGTAACGGATCTAGGCCACACACCAACATCACTCCCCTGGGATCAAAAGGCGAGCTGCTTTAAAGCTATTTCTTATCCTTTTTTTAGGCCTTCAAACGTCTTGAAACGTTTTGGCCCCCATACCCCCCCCAAACAAATCAAACATCGTGCAAGTAAAGTGCACATTTACTATAGAACAATGGTAAGTACATGTTTTATTCTTTAGTTTTATTATAATTTAATCCATCTTGACTGACAAAAACGTTGTACAACACATGTTACATTTGATACAGAAAGAGAGAGTTAATGTACAGATTTACAGATGACTTCTACTGCGCTTCTGTTTAAGCTGAGATAATATATGACTCTATTGAAGAGTTTCACCACGTATACAAGAGTGTTTTTGCACTTTTCCTTGTCACACACAACTTCCCTGCACTCAGTAGGCGCGTTTCCATTACAGATTTGCGCAAAACTTTTGCGATTTTTTCTAAATGTCGATAAAAAACTATTGCGAAATGACGGCGTTTCCATTAACTGATGTTATGCGACTTTTTCCCCTCTCGCGATAAGTCATTTAAACATCAACGGGTAGGTTTATAGCCTATATCCCTATATCACAGCCACCGCACCACCACACTAGACATTATTATTAATAGAAGGAGACGTGGTGTGTTATCCAAGCATTAATGGCAGGGAAAGACCCGTATACTGCGAACGGCATAAGGAGTTTCTGGGTGTTTCTCCCTCATTTCTGCTCCGAGGTCTGATTGTGGCATTTCTTTGAGGTTTAGAATCCAGTATTCCTGTAGCCTATTGTTTCTTTTATGAATTTAATAAAGAACTCTGTCCAAACGGTCAGTGTACATTTGTGTCCATTCGTTTTTCCTTATTTAACCCGTATTGCAAAACGAAAAATGAACGGTGGTTGTTGTTTTTTAAATGCAAAGTTGAACACCAATTTTTTTTTTTAAATTTAAACTGTACTACACAAATGCTGCGAAAAAAAAAAAAAATCGACTAAATTTCAGATGTTTGTTTATGACTTTTTGCCCCTTTACTAAACATTTAAAATATTCCCAACTTAATACAATTTTTTTTTAGATTTTAATGGTTTTCTAAGGCCAAATTAGAACCTGAAAATTATATTTTTCCCGCAGTGCTGAATGAGAAGAGCCATATTTAGGCCTATGTCTCTGGAACCAGCCTACAGAAAGGTGATTTAGGTGAGTTATAGGCTAATGATAATAAATGTGTCTGAAAGAATAACGAGGCATTTTAATTTTATTAATAAACTATTGTTTTCTAAATTAGTGTCGGCTAAAAACATCTCCATCTCCGCTGAGGCGCGCCGCGCGAATGCACCTTTAGAGAGAAATGCACCATTCATACGGATTACATAATCAGAAGGTATTAGCTTTCGATTCGAATTTGTTCGTTTTAAAGTGGACATTTCAAGCTTTAACTTTTTTCACGGAGATCATGAAAGCGCGCATGATTGTTTTATTTTATTATTTATTACTATTTTATTTTGTCTAACCATTATGAATGACATTTGACGAATTGCTTTGTTCCTTTTTTTGGATAAAAGCATCTTCTAAATATGTAGCCTAATAAATGTTATAATAATGATGATAATTATTAGCCCATTATTATTTGCGTATACCACGGACGGACCCCAAACACACCGCGTCTTCTAAGTCAGGTGACTGTAAATGCGCAAAAACTGTTTCCATTGCAGTTTTGCGAAATATTCCTTTTTCGAATTGCCTGAAAAACCTCCTCATGCGAGCGTAAAAACTTTTTTGCGATAAATGGGAGTTTTTGCGAAATTGACGTGTTTCCATTGAGCGTAATTTCAATTCGCAATTTCAATTTGCGCAATTTGAAGGGTAATGGAAACGCGGCTACTGTTGTACACCTCCATGCCGCTAATATACTTTTTTACTTTTAATTTCCAGACATTAATGCTGTATAGTTGTGCTAACGGTAAAGCCGTTGGTTCAGTCCAAAATGGCGACAGCAGCGCCACCTAGCGATTGTTGTGAAAACTGCAGCGGAGTTTCGCCTCTAGAGCTCTATACTGTTCGCTAACACAAGCCTGTCTGTATAAGTGACGGGGAGCTGGTCCACTCACCTAGCCGAGTAGCGGGCTGTCTCTTGGGTTCCGCCGCGAGCCCCAGCTCAGTCTGCAGCTCGTCCTGCTGGATCCGGGCCTGTTGCAGGATCTTCCGGGACAGCTTCTCGTCCACATACTCCTGCTCCTCCTCGAGGGTCCGGGCTCGGTTCTTCACTCGCCCGCTGGCCCGGACCGAGTCTCCCTGCAGGATCTGATCGGCCAGAGACACGCCGGAACCGCTTACATTACCCCTCACATTACCCCTCTTCACCTTCGGCATGATGACGAATTAATATGATTATGATTATATCAGGCTGAACTCATGACACGCAGCCGCGCGCCGAACACACGTGTGTCTGACTCTGACCCGAGGAAAATGGCGCTGTGTGTGTGTGTGTGTGTGTGTGGCTGATCTGAGATCAGATGAATGGAGCGAGCGCTGCTCTTTATTTTTATTTTTTTATTGAACAAGGATCACAGGGGATACATATCACACTAACAATAGGATAAGAAACTATAGGTAAAAAGCTACAGCGAGGCAGTACTTACAGTGAGAGATATAGTCTACTAAAAAAACATTTAAAGCAATAGAAATTAAACATGGGGAAATAGATAACATGGGGGGGAAATATTACATTTTTTCATCTTCAGGAAATCAGGAGGTAACTAATGAAACCATATTTTTGTGTGTAGCAGCAGTTTTTAAACTAAGAGACTCATAGAATAACTTTAAATCAACACAAAAAGGGCAAAAATTGATCTTAGAATCAGTGACTGTACATGTGTGGAGATAAACTATAGCAGGTTTAGCGAGCGCTAATCTTATTTATTGATTTAAAAACTACAACTGCAGAAAACCCCTTTATTTATGGGAATCTCTCCAAACGACGGATCATTGCATCACAAATGTAATTTCACATAGTTCCAAGTGTTTCAAAAAACATAATAGAAAGTCTAAAGCCGTTTCTCTCTGTCAAAATATTTAATATTTTAGTATGTTTATTTTATTTATTTATTTCTAAATTCAAACTCTGTGTTAGTCTCAATGGAAGTGTCTTATTTTGTTATGTCCATTCTGCAATAAATAAAAAAAATAAATAAAAATATCGTTCACTCATAACAGCTGATCTCAGACCAGCGCTGATTTACACTGTTTACTTCCGGTCACGTGATCTGTGCTGCTCAATCGACGTTTCGAGCATATGCGATCATTTTATTGATATGATAAGCACGGATATTTATGACTGTCCGATTAAAAATTCCCCACTTTTAACTGATTTTGTGTTATTCGCGAAAGCCGGGATTGACCCGGAAGTAAATACGGGCTCGCGGATTTTTGGGGTAAAGAAATGGGTGTAACGTGGTGAGAAACACTTTTGTTTTCATATTATTGTTTAATAATTTTTTTTTTTTCCTTGTCGTTTTGAGTACTCTGGTTCTTATAAAACTGTTGTTATGTTTTGTGTTGTGCTGGATCCACTGAGAGGCTTTGGAAAGAAACAAAGCTCTTCAATATCTCGTTTGTTTATATTTCATATCTTACATTTGTTTTGTAAACACTGCCGTTCAAAAGGTCTGGATCGGTAATATTTTTAATGTTTTTATAAGTCTCTTCTGCTCACCAATGCTGCATTTATTTGATTGAATAAGAACAAAACAGTAATATTGTGAAATATTATTAGAATTTAAATCAGCTGTTTTTTATTTTAATATATTTTAAAATGCAATTTATTCCTGTTATTTTCAGCATCATTACTCCAGTCTTCAGTGTCACATGATCCTTCAGAAATCACTCTAATATGAGGATCTGATGATCAAGACACATTTATGATTATTTGAAAACAGTTATTTACATTTTTATTTCAGGATATTTTGATGAATAGAAAGTTAAAAAGAACAGCATTTATTTAAAATAGAATCTTTTGTAACATTATAAATGTCTTTACTGTCACTTTAATGCGTCCTTGATGAATAAAAGTATTGATTTCTTTTATTTATTTCCCACAAAAAATAAAATAAGAATTCTTACTGACCCCAAACTGTTGACCGGTAGTGTTTAATGTTACAAAAGCTTCGATTTCAGATAAATGCTGTTCTTTTGAACTTTCTATTCATCAAAATATCCTGAAATAAAAATGTAAATAACTGTTTTCAAATAATCATAAATTTTTCTTGAGCATCAGATCATCATATTAGAGTGATTTCTGAAGGATCATGTGACACTGAAGATTGGAGTAATGATGCTGAAAATAACAGGAATAAATTGCATTTTAAAATATATTACAATAGAAAACAGCTTTTTTAAATTCTAATAGTATTTCAGAATATTACTGTTTTTTTTTAATCAAATAAACAGCCTTGATGAACAGAAGAGACTTCTTCTTTACCGATCCAAAACTTTAGACTGGTAGTGTGTGAAGAACAAATTTGTCCAGTGATATGACTGTAAGTGTGTGTGTTGATATGAAGGGTGTGTGTGTCAGTGTGTGTCAGGTGCCGGTGTCCGAGGGCAAGAGCGTGCAGCAGACGGTCGATGTCCTGCATAAGAAGCTGGAGACGCTGGGCGCCGTCAAACAGGGCAACTTCTGGGTCGACTGCGAGACGTACCACGCTACGGGGAACGCCACCGGTAACCGCTCGCACCGTTACCATGGAGACCACGCCGCATATCACCATGGTAACGCATATCTCTCTCTCTCTCAGGTCAGCCGAGTAAGCTGCTGTACGTGATGCATAACTCGGAGACGCCGCTGAGCTGCATGGCTCTGTTCGAGGGCGGACCGGGGCTCAGCGCGGACGCTAACTTTGACGTCCTGATGGTGAAGCTCAAGAGCCACTTCCAGAACGCCAAAGGCCATAAAGTGGAGAGTCGCGGTGTCCGTTATCGCTACTGCGACTTCCTGGTGAAGATCGGCACCGTCACCATGAGCTCCAGCGCTAGAGGCATTTCAGTCGAGGTGTGTGTGCGCGCTCAGTGGCTCTCACTCACGAAGTGTGCGGACGCACGAGTTTCACTCACAAACTAACGTTTAGTTGAAATTTACGGAAAACCGTAGAAACAACTAAAAAAACACAAAAATCACTTTCATTCACTAAGTGTGCGGACGCATGAATTTCTACGCGAAATCAACTTTTTTCACGATCAAATCATGATTCAGCAGTAAATCTCGCATTTCAAATTTACGAAAACTTTTTAGAAACAACTCAAAATAAAAGCTAAAATAACTCATTCGCTAAGTGTGCGAATGCACGAATTTGACGCACGATCTCTCACATTAACGTTTATTTCAAAATTTAGGGGAAAAAAATGTGAAAACAAATGCTAAAATAACTTTCATTCACTAAGTGTGCGAACGCACGAATTTGACACACAAATTCTCGTGCTGACGTTTATTTCAAATTTATTAAAAAAAGTTACAAACAACTGAAAACAAACGCAAAAATAACTTTCATTCAGTAAGTGTGCGGACGCACAAGTTTCACACACAAACTCTCGTACTAACGTTTATTTCAAATTTACGTGATTTTTAGAAACAACTGAAAACAAACGCAAAAATCACTTTTATTCACTAAGTGAAACGCATGAATTTGTACGCGAAATCTACGTTAACTTTTTTTACAATCAAATCATGATTCAGCAGTAAATATGGCATTTCAAATTTACGAAAACTTTTTAGAAACAACTCAAAATAAATGCTAAAATAACTTTCATTCACTAAGTGTGCGGACGCACGAATTTGACAAGAATTCTCGTACTAGCGTTTATTTCAAATTTACGTGATTTTTAGAAACTGAAAACAAATGCAAAAATCACTCTTATTCACTAAGTGAAACGCATGAATTTGTACGCAAAATCTACGTTAACTTTTTTTACGATCAAATCATGATTCAGCAGTAAATTTCGCACAAACGTTTATTTCAAATTTGCAAAAAAAAGTTACAAACGCTAAAATCACTTTCATTCACTAAGTGTGCGGACGCACGAATTTGACACACGAACTCTCGTACTAGCGTTTATTTCAAATTTACGGGGAAAAAAACACGTAGGAAACAACTAAAAACAAATACGCCCCAAAAAAAGACATTGCTCGAAGCAGCACATTTTTGAGGGAAAAATTGTACCATCTTTAAAAAAAACGAATTTTTAAATGAAATTGAATCAATTAATTCGCAAAATGATTCGCACAGTCACGCCATTACTCTGATGACGACACCCACTGGAGGGGAACGTAACCGGCGACAGGACAGCTTAGCCTTCGTGTTAAAATCAAGTACAGCGAGTAAGAGTAAGAAATGCCACATTAAAGCTCGAGCTGTGAAACTTTGGAGGAAACTTTGCGGTATCGTACGATGATGTGTACGAATTTACACCGAAATTCATGTGCGTACGTATATATGTGTGTTGTGCATTACCAGAATTGTTTGTGAATAAAACCCGTTGTCTTTTCTGATTAATCCAACGCATGCTAATGCACAGTAATGTGTGTGTGTGTGCAGGTGGAGTACTGCGCGTGTGTGATCCCTGGAGACTGCTGGAACCTCATGAAGGAGTTCATGCAGAGCTTCCTGGGCTCGCACACTCCCGAGCTGCCGGCGGTGTTCACCAGTAAGCCCGAGGGCCTGAGCGTGCCGGTGGACTGCATGGACACCATGAGCCAGTACCTGGAGCTGTTCGGCCGGGTCCGCAAGCAGCAGGTGCTGCCCGGCAGCGGCGTACGATGAGGACCTGCGCTGAGACCTGCGATGTTCTTCACCTCGACCCGGGACAACGAGCGAGTTCGAGACACACAGACACTCCTGAGACAACATTTCTCGTCTCCTTTGTGTTTGTATTATTTCAGTAGTGGGTGCCTATTTTCTGTGTACATTGGAATTTGTAAAATAAACAGTTTACTTTGAATTCCAATCATTGTATTAAAATTAGTGCTGTGCAACAATTAATTGCATCCAAAATAAAAGTTTTTGTTTACTTACTATATGTGTGTGTACTGTGTATATATAAAAATACACACGCATGCATGTATATATATTTAAGAAAAAATTGCATGTATATATATTTATACATAATTTATATTATATATATTTTATACATAAATTAAGAAAAATCTTAAATATATACATGCATGTGTGTGTGTTTATATATACAACATAACTACACAGCACACACACATATATTATGTAAACACAAACTTTTATTTTGGATGTGATTAATCGTTGCGCAGCACTAAATAAAATCAATGTTCTGGTAGAATCGCAAAATGTAGTTTTGAATCAGTACTTCGGAGGGAGTATCACCAGTCCTGTGATTTCAGCAAACTAGGCTTTGTTACGTCATGAAGTGATTTGCCACTAAAAGAGAGAGATCTTTATGGCCGGATTAGCCAACCCCTCTTAAAAACACACAAAACATTCATAAAACGACACAAATTATACACACTTCCTTAATGGAAAGTAATAAGTTGAAAATTTCCCTTTAAATGATTCCACTTTAATGAAAACATTCGTCTTGTGAAAGCCATCATTAGACATGTTTAACCCGGTTCTGGTTTGTAAAACAATTTGTTCAATTGATTAAGAGATTCAATAGTTTAACACCTCGTACAAACTCGCCGAAACGAACACAAAAACACCTTAGATTTGGTCCGATTTAGTTTAAAATAATGATTTCGCTTGAAGAATGTCAGCTTTGATGTTTGAACAGGAATACACATTTGCATAACAAAAGCAGAACAGATGAAGGCACAGATAATTGGCTATAAATTCACATTTATTTGAATATGCATGAGCAAAACACACTGTGGATAAATTCAAATTCACATGCAATCAGCCGTATATAAAATACGAGCTTAAAATCAGCTTGATTCAACACTTGACAGGACCTGTGAAGTTTAAGTAGGCTACATGGTATTTCATTTATAACAGAATTATTTTTATTTTACATTAACCCAATAATCACAGAATGCTCCTTTATGAATCCCATTTTGAAGCCTTTTTTCTGAGACAAACAAGAATATTCGGTAACATTTGACCGTGTCCTTGTTGTTACATATGTGTTACATGTACTTACCGTAGTAATAACGGTAAATTATGCATAATTACATGCAAGTACATGTAGTTGCTTAATATTACTCACTAGTACTTAAGTATATAATTACACTGTAACTGAGTATTCTTGTAAAGATAGTTTTATAACTAAAATCTAATCTTCCCTTAAGACTATCGACAAGCCGACACTAATTCTGGGACTTTACAGCTCAACAATGATAACATACATTCACGACATGGGATATTACCATGAAATGTAAACTATGAATGACTGAATACCCCAAAACCAATTGCACTGAGTTTTACAATCTCAATTCAAACTCTAGGCGCGATCTGATTTAACTACAGTCGCAAAGCATGCTGGGTAGCCAGTAAAGCCTCATTGCAGAAACGTGTGTATGTTACTTTAACTGTAAAGTCTATATGTTGCCTTTGTTTGCAATTTGTCCCAATCTTTTGCATATAATCAGTGTATTAATTTTATATGCACTTATAATCTTAATGCAAAATAAATCACATCATGGTCTGGACGAGGTTAATCTGTTCATCTGACTCCGCCTCTGGAGCTTTAAAACCTGACGGACGTCTCAACAACCGCATGAAAAGCCGGCTTAAAACTGGCTTAAAAGCGCCAACTTCGCGATCTCGACCAATCAGAACACGTCGTTACGTGAGTGATCGCTCCTAAGCCAATCAGAGTGCAGTGACGCCTGCGCTGGGCAGTTCGGTTGAGGCGTAAATGGTGACAGCTCGCGCGTGCGGATGATGGCGGTAAATAACAGCCGAAAGCGAGTGTAAAAAAAAAAAAAAACCACCTCTAATATTTACCGTAATTTTACTTATTAAAAACATTTATCGGCTGTTTCGTGGAGGACTCGCGCGGAGGAGCCGATTAAAAGCTGATCGGGGGTTTTCGGTGTGAGTTTATTCTGTAGCTGCGGCTCTTGAACTGTTTTTTGTTCAACGGATTTAAAGTAACAGATCTCTCGCGCCGGTATAAACACACACACACACACACACACCGATCGAGCCCCGGTACCGGAACCTCCCAGATCCGCCGATACCGAAGATTCCGCGTGTCTCCCGGTGGAGCGTCTTTTGTTCTGTAAGTAGCGCTAGCGGGTTAGCACACACACACACACACACACTCATACACACACAAACATTCAAACAACAGAGACAGACACACACACTTATAACACAATAACACACATCACATGCATTCATACACGCACATAACATTGTGTGACAAACACATAACGTGCACAAATACTAAAGACGGAGTCTTCTTGTATGCAAACACAACTGGACTTTCAAATACACACACTTTATCAAATGTAATGTACGATAAACACCAAGCTAACAAAAATATTAAGTTATGAAAATATCTCTGAACATTCAAAACATTATTTTTTTTAATGTCTTAACGTTCTTTCCTGTTATGCGAACATTCCATTGTATCATTCTTCAAACATTATGGAACGTTACTTTTGAATGTTCTGTGAACGTTCTGAAACAAGTTGTAACATTTTAAAAAAACGTTAGACGAAAGTTTTAGGGGGGAAAACGCTTAATGAACGTTTTTGTGCTACCGTTAGGAGAACATTATTAAAGATGAGACAACTTTGAACGGATATTCTATTATTGTTACTGGAAGAACGTTATCACAACATTGAGAGAACGTTAGCTGAAGTTCTGAAAACGTTCCCTGTTCGCTATACACACACTTTAAAAACCAGTTCATTCGCCTCACTAAAACAGCTTCTGGTACTATGATGTTGCTAAGATCAGGACTGAACCGTTTGATGCCACTGATTTCACTTTTGTATGTTCGAGTTGAGTGTGTGAATAAAGTGTTTCTCGTCCACAGTGTGTGTCGGGCATTATGAAGTCCTGTGAACGGAACGGCAGCAGGACACGTGCGCTCTGATGCTGGAGCTCTCCGTTTCTCACAGTGAGTCCGGTACTACTGTTTTATGGACAATTCTGCGTTCCCTCATCCTTTCCTCCCCCGAAACTCTTTCTCTTTTTTTTTTTTAATGACTGTTCATCGGAGGACTTTTGTCGCACTTGGACCACGAATACACATTAAAAAATGTTATGGATTCGAGGAGTTTTGTGGTTGAAATTTAAAAAAAGTAACAAATCCGGGTCAATCTGACCCCCTTAGGAATGAGTGGAATGTGAGGAATCCTTCAGTACACATAGAAACACCTAAAAATGCTCAAAATTCAAACTAAAACTTTACCAAAAAATGATTGTATAATGTCTACATGTGTATGTGAATGCACACTAAAGCGGAACTGGCTTTAGGACCCAGCGGAACAGCTCCTCTGCTCCATATAGAGCTATAAGCCCATCTAGAGTCATGAAATATCATGTGTTATTATTATTTTTCCACACGAGATCGGCAAAGACTCCCAATGTAAGATATTTAGAGCTGAATTAAAAGGGTTATGCATGAAATTGTGAGTTATTTTGAATTTAAATTAAGAACGTGAGGAATGTGCTTAAATTACTACAGTAGTCAACATTTGAAGTGGATCAAAAAAGTTCATCGAAGTTGTCCTAAGACAAAATATTATCAAGCTTTCTGGATCCGCGAGGGAAAGATGCGTTACAGAGTGCGAGGGAAGGATGACGCATTGCATTGAAATGAATGATTTATTTGAAAAAATGTGTTTGTAAGCAAGGTCTCTCTCCCTGTTATCTCCAGGATGAGCGCGGTCATCATGGCGTGTGGTTCCTGACTGCTAATGCTCATGCGCGTTGGGAGACATGGATCGCTGTAAGCATGTGGCGCGGTTCCGCTTGGGCCACGGCCACTCGATCCTCAACCCGCAGATGTGGCGCTGCGTGGACTGCGGCACCACGGAGTCGGTGTGGGCGTGTCTGAAGTGCACTCATGTGGCGTGCGGTCGCTACATGGAAGAACACTCGCTGAGCCACTTCCAGCAGACGCAGCACCCGCTAGCCATGGACGTACGCGAGCTCGCCGTCTTCTGTTTCGCGTGCGGCGACTACGTGTTGAACGATAACGTCGAGGGCGACTTGAAGCTCCTCCGCGGGGCGCTATCAACCGTCCGAATCCCTGGTCAGCGTTCCCTGCGTTCGTCAACATCCGACGGCGGGTTTAGAGCGTGCGATGTTAGCGTGTCGCGTCCGTCCGCGCGGACGGCGTTGTGGCACCGACGGAAAACCCTCCTACAAAGTGCGTTACGCCGCTGGAGAAACCGGCAGCAAGACGAAGAGAGGAAGCGTGAGGAAAAGCAAGAGCAAGAGCGTGAGGAGAAGCGACGACAACGCAGGGAAGTCAAGAAACGGTTAATGGGAGAGCTAGCAAATGTCCCACCGAGGAAAAGCGCGCGCTTGCTAACACAGGCTCCCCGTACGACGCTCGCCCTCATCCCTCGAAAGTTCCGCGATCCTCCGGAACGACTGCCTTCAGCTCCCAAACAGCCGCTTTTGTCGCTGTCCGGCAAGACTCTTTCGCGCAAGACGGGTCGCTTACGCCGATATCACGCGTCGCAGTCGGCGCGGCGCAGGAAACTAGCGCCGGGAGTCACTGGACTTCGCAATCTTGGGAACACGTGCTACATGAACTCCATCCTTCAGGTTTTGAGCCACTTGCAGAAGTTTCGGGAGTGTTTCCTCACGCTGGACTTGTGCGAGACCGAGGAGCTCCTCGCTAAGACTAACCAATCACAGGGTGTGGGGGGCGGAGCCAGGACCCTCGCTACGCTAGTCCAGCCCAGTTTGAGCTCGGCGGAACTGGTGCAACCGAAAGAGCCGCGGTCCTCGTCCCGGCAGAAGATGTCGTTGTGTCACGAGTTGCACACGCTCTTCCGGGTCATG